TAAGCTCATCTTGCACGCGTATGACACTTACTCTGAGATGTATTGCAGGGTCCATCTTACACGGGGTTCAAACTTACTGAGCTATATTGTTAGGACGATATTTCATGCATGGGGGTCAGACTTACTGAGCTATATTGTTAGGATAATATTTCATGGGGGTCCAACTTACTGTGGCGTAGTGCTAGGCCCACTTTATACGGGGGGTCACGCTTACTCTGAGTTCTAAGATGTATTGCAAGGTCCATTTGCATGGAAGTCAAACTTATTTACTTGTATTGCAAGGTTTATCTTGCATGGGAGCAGAGGCGTAGCGATGGGGGGGGGGGGGGGAGGGGGGGGACATATGTCCCCCGGGCGCCGACCTTAGGGGGCGCCAAAATGGGTTGTAAAAACAAATTAAAATGTCATTTTAGCTGCATTTTTTCAGTTTGACGGAGGGGTGGGGGTGCAAATCGAAAGTTTGAGGGTTTGGGGGGGGGGGGGGGGTTGCAAATCAAAAAGTTGAGGGAGAGGGGTGCAAATTGGAAATTTTCTCCCAAGGGGGGCGCCAAATTGAAAGTTTGTCCCCGGGCGCCGGGAAGGGTCGCTACGCCTCTGCATGGGAGTCAAACTTACTTAGTTGTATTGCAAGCAGCATTCCCTCTAAAGGGAAAAGGCTAGTGTGCAACTTGTATTTTATGTGCGCGGTGCTAAAAGTCTCATACAAGGAGAGATATATTTTACAAAAGGACTGTGCAGCAGGTTCAAAACTACTGCGCGGCCGCGCAAACGCGCAGCTTAGAGGGAACACTGATTGCAAGGTCTATCTTGCATGGGACTCAAACTTACTAAGTTGTATTGCAAGGTCCATCTTGCAGGGTGGGGGGGGGGGGGGGGGTGGTCAAACTTACTGAGCTCTATTGCAAGGATCCTCTTGCATGGGGGGGGGGGTCTAATTTACTAAGTTGTATTACGAAGTAAATCTAGCGTGCTGCCCCCCCCCCCCCCCCCCCCCACTGAACTACATTTTTGAGATAATAGTGGGCCATAGTGTAAACATTTTAATCGCATCATTGCGTTTAGAGGCAGCTATAAATCCTAATCAAATCTAAATTGAAACCATGCAACTTGTTCAAATAAATATTCCACTCACTAACATTATAAATCTATTGACCCTAGGAGAACTAATTTTAAAAATAAATACACATTAATATATCTGGGGCTTCTGTCATCTTAATCCTGCTGAGATGACCCCGTGAAAATGTCCTACAATTAATGTCGACCCCCCCCCCCCCAACTTGCCTGAAAAACCAACTTTGAATACCCCCAATCGGCAGGTGTTTTCGTGTCGAGATGGGGAAAAGGGGGGGGGGGAGATATGGGATATTTAGGATAACGTCTTTATTGTACCTTAGACCAGGGGTATCTGTAGCATCTCCCCCCCCCCCTCCACAACAAGACACGCTAACTTGATACTCCGATTTGCACCGTTAACCGTTAGACACGCACCGGGCCTTGACGTCCTCGTGACGGCATTACTAGCCAGATCTACGTGACTGATCCGTACAGTTAGGTCCGTCACGTCCACCCGTTACTACTAAAGGTCACCCACAATACAAGCTCTCTTTCTCTCCCCCCCCCCCCCCCCCCCACAAACATCCCAGGTTGATGATAGTGTCTAATTATGCACAGCAACACCAAAGTGCAGATATGTAATAAAACTTTTTGTATGTTATATGGACCTATAGCCTAGTTTTTTTCCTTTTTAGCCGGTTTTTTTTGTTTGTTATATACCTAAATAAAAATGGGACTTCACGAGGAAAAACTCATGATATGGTACATTTTCCAATTACAATTTTAAAAAGCCTGCATGTTATAATAAGTATGTTAAAGACGAGTTGGTTTTTTTTTTGTTCTTTTTTTTTTTTTTTTTTTTGGTTAAAGTGAGCACTTTTGGAACCCGATCTGCTTTTGAAACATCGAAACATTTATGCCATAAAAATTAAATTACAATGAGGCCTTATGTATTGTATAATGTGTAGGCCTAAAAAAATAAAATAAATAACGAGTGTGATTGGCCAGATTTTTTGCCTAGTAAAGTCAAAGGTTAACTGTTACACCTAGGATTTCCCCAAAATGAAGGAGGTGGAGGTTAAAAAGAAATTCTAACTACCGGTAGCAAAGAAAAAAAAACGTACAATGTCCAAGGACTTCAGGTCATATATTTACCGTTATTTGCCCAACAGACCATAACAGAATCGTAAAAAAAAAAATCCCCACGCGACGATTAAATAGGTTGTTGTGACAACCGTTACATTTACCGTTAGACGATGTCAAAGTCTGAAAGGCATCCAGGCATTTTTTATTCCTGAAATATTTCTTTTCAGAACTCAAATTAAAACATTTAGAGCATGACGCGTCACAAAAACACAAAAATTAAATCTCGTATTCAGGTATTTAAAGCAACGAAAGGAGAGAAGAAAAAAAATGCAGGCCTAAATAATGTAACTACGACATAAATTCTAAGTATTATTTTTAATTCTTTGCAAATAACGGAGGTTGTTGCACTGGTTATGTTTTCTTTAAAAACAGCTGTCGGTGACGTAGTGGGGGTAGGTGGGTTTACCCCACACCTCCACAATGTCTGCCAATGTAACATTGTAAATTATAAAAAAAACAACAATTCAGCAGCTGTTTTTCAGTAAATAGGTTACATAGTATTTTTTTTTAAACCCCCAGTTGAAGTAGAGTTCATATTTCAGTGACCTCGGCATATGAAGGGATAGCGGGGTCAGCACGAGCCAGCCCCCTTTCCCTAACGCGAGTCAGGTACCCATCAGAGCTTGGTGGATTCAGAGATATCCAACAGACTCAAGCCCAGATTTTCGGGTAAGCAGTCGTACGCTCTACTACCCGACCACGCCGTCCTTATAAACCTTGCTATGTCGTAATGCGCAAATCAGAGCCTTAATGATGTGATTAGCACACCACATGCTACGTCAGCCTTCAGAGTGCACCAACGATTCTTAATATAACTGAAAGACAGTGGTTCTTAACCTGGGTTCAATGGAACCCCAGGGGATCAAGGAGTCAGTCTCAGGGGTTCGGCCGAGGTCAAGACACACACCCGACTTGTATGATTCACGATCAGATTTTGTCAGTGCGGACGATAGAACTATTAATAAGGGTTTGTTGAATGAGCATATTAAAACAAATGGGGTTCGGTAATTCTAAATTCTGCTGTAAGCCATACTGTGCTGTGTATCAAAATATTGATTGGTTTCTCATGTTTCAAGTTATAACATGAATACATGTAGATATGTAATGATGACAAGAATAACAGTTTACAAAAGAGGAGTTCAATAGCCATCCATGACCAATTAACATGGTAACATTTACAAAAATTAATAGCACCAGATGAATTCACTAGCTCCCCATGCCTAATTCCTCATCCAAAAGATGTCAAAGTAATTGAAGTTTAATCTGATACACCAACATCAACTTACAACAAAAAACAAACACAATTTTTTTTTTCAACCCATGAAGTGTTTATGTACACACAAAAAAGTTACAGACAAATGGTCCTGTACACCATTACAACCAGGTTGGAGAAAGCTTTACCCTTGAACAGTCATGTGACCACAAAATATAATCGTCTGGGATAAATGACACTTTACATTCAGTACATTTTTTAAATAAATAGAACTCAGGCAGTGTTAGCTGAAAAGTTTTAATAACTTTGGTTTAAGTACAATAGCAGAATCTAACAGATGTAGAGCTGATTTGGAAGCTCAGACCTCTTACTAATAGTCCTTATAAAAAGTTTAAGGTGAAAAATAAACTTTAAAACTTTAAATTATAATTTTTACTACACTTAAATATTTAATCAGTCTTTTAGATATTTAACGTGCAAGTCCCCAGCTTTTAATTTGACATCAGCTAATCAACAATTCCTCAACCATCACAGACGTCTCACTTTTGGTAAATTCTAAAATCACAGAGGTCTGCAATCTGCTTCTCACTGGCAGCATGTCTTGAATATATAATGCAGCGCTATTCATCTGGTTTATAAACTTACTAAAAAAAATAAGATAACTTTCTTTTAATGTACTTTCTGCAGGTTTAAGTATCGGAATATATAATTTTCAGTAGGACTATTTATATATTTTTTAGCAGATTCATTTTTATAACAATGGTATTTTAATAATAAAAAAAAAGTTGCCAACCCATGTGGCCTTCTTATATGTAAGAGGAAAACCATTAACATAATTATTTACAAGGTTGGCAAAAAATTATTTGAGAGTGATGTCTTAAATCTGGATGTGTGAGTTGAATAAAACTAAAGGACAAGGGTTCACACTGACATGAAAATATAAAGTGACTGGTAGTTTTTTTTTGGAGAGGTTAGTTTTGGTGCAGGGATGGGTTACGATGTGTTGCTGGTATTAACATAACAAGTTAGCTAAAATGTACAATAAATAAATGTTCCATATTTAAAAAAAACAAAAACAAGCATGCATTGAAGGAGTGAACCACAGTTCAACCAAATCCCACAGAACTTGTGTCAGTACAAGAATAATGCTGATGACCAATACTTTATGGTCCAGTTGAAATATTGCAACAATTGAGTCCTTTCATATACCCTATCAACATTGTATACAAATTATAACATGTAAGTATAAATTAAAAAACTTTAACATATGTCATGGAGACCTATTTAACAAACATTTTATTGCAGTAATTGGTGGGAGAACATCTTTTCAATGTCTAAAAATATATTAAAAAATACTTGCGAAATAAACCTATACAATATAGAGATTATTAAAACTTTACCAAAATTGTGTTAGTCTCAAGACGGGTAGGATTGTCCCTAAGTTAAAAAAAAACAATTGTTTAAAAAATAAAATAAATTATTAAATAGAGATTGATTCCCATTTAGGGAGTTCTTCTAATAAAAAACATGTATGATACAATAGGCACCTTTGAAATCAGTGCAGTTCTCAAGCATATACATGTCAATATCTACAGCATTTAGTGTAGAAAATATACAACTGAAAACATGCCTTATTTTGGTTCAAAATAAATATAAAATGGGCTGTCAATCTTCACCAAATATACAAGACAATATGAGCTGTCAAACTTCAAATATACAAGACAATATGAGCTGTCAAACTTTACCAAATATACAAGACAATATGAGCTGTCAAACTTTACCAAATATACAAGACAATATGAGCTGTCAAACTTCAAATATACAAGACAATATACTTGACTATATGAGCTTACAGCCTTTCCTGATATGGGCTCCAATCACTTGTATATAAATACAACAAAATATGGAATAAAATGCAGCAGAGTGTTGTCTACTGTACAATTAACTGAGGTAAAAATGACACAAATCACCACTGTGTTAATATCAGAGTTATGTAACAAAAACAAAATGAGAATTGGTCTAGAGTTATTTAGCTGACACAATTTGATTTTTAAAAAAATACTAGTGAGATTTAAGAAAAAAAATTAACGAAAAATTGTCAGATTTAAACCACATAAGGATGATGACAGTACTAACTTGTGTAATGAGTTTATCTCGATGAATATTCCATACGATCCACACAACCATAAAATGATGGACATTAATATCCCATGATATTAAACATTCACTACCCAATCATGCCATAAATTAACAAGTAAACAGCAAGAATCGGCTTGCTAGTTTAGTATCTATTTTCGTTTGCCATTTCACAGCAGAGGTTCAGGATCAACTTTTCTAATCAGAGATATAAACATTATGTACAACAAAGAAAAGCATTAACTATCTTTGGTTAAAATACACCTACAAATGCAGTAGTTATGGAGATTTTTAGTACTTTGAACTGCAATGTAAAACTTGTTTAGTTTACATCATATCGAGAACTAAGTCTAAGTTATTTGGTACAGTGATATAGTTAAAATGATAGAGTAAATTCAATTTTAATTAAGTGAAAAATAACTTAAAAACTTATTAATTTATGCTTATCAAACTATTTTATAAGTATTAAAAACTATACAAGGTCAAATATAGATTTGTATAAAAATGAGGAAATATAAGCTCTATGGGCTGCAAAACAACAAATAATTTTAAGAAACTTTTTAAAATTATTATTTACAAAACAATAAATTGAGTATTGTAATCTGGTAGCTAAAAGTTTTGATTTAAGAAAAATGTATCTATGGAAAACAATAATTGTTTAAAATTTATATGACAAAAAAAATAAATCATATATACAATAATCAGACTTAAATACTGAAGAAAATATAGATTACAGTTTATAAACAAACACCAATTCAACATATCTTTTTATACAATCAACTTTAACTGATTAATATATTTTAAGAGTAAAGACATGTACAAGTTTTGTATAATTTAATGTACATCACAATTCACAAAAAAATCTATCTTTTGTGTAACTACTAAAATAATATTGATAACATCAGTTTTTCATGTTACAGAAAAGGAGCCAGTTTCTGAGCTGTTCAGCTTGAGAGTTTAAACAACATCAAAGTGTTGTCTTGGTTGCACACTGCTCCAAGACTGTGTAGACACTGAATGATTCTGTTGTAATATAGTAACATTCTCATAATTTGTTTTAGTTGTTTTTTTAAAATAGGTATCATTTTATGTTTGAAACTATTTTGCATAATTTATTAGGTTACTTTAAAAATTGTTCTTTTATCAAGCATTTTGTTTTGGACAAATGTAACATTTATAGCTTAAAAAAAATATTTGGATGAGCACAGTATTTTAGATTTTTTGGAGAGACTATGTGGACCATACTTAACATATCGTTTAATTTTTAGCATCTTGAAATAATCAATCTCTAGCAGACAGACAGAACACTACCAAGCTTTTACATACCTCGTTATGAGTTGAACTATTTAAACTTTCTGAGCCTGTGTTGTGTTCCCCATTATCAAAACTATCATCTTCAGCCTCATCTTCATCCTCATCTAACAAATTCATCATCGAAGGTGCCTGAGATTCCTTTAAGCTAGAAGAAATATTTCTCTGTTTATAACTAGGTAAAGGTAAAAATAAACAGCAAGATAGGGTAATCAGAAATAATGTATCAATTTTGTTACAAACAAGAAATGGAAAGCTTACATTTGCTGTGCAGACTTTTTCTTTCGCTTCAAAAAGAATCGTCTTGCCAAGGCAGCAAATTGCTTCCTGGAGGCTGTAAACATTTTTTTAATCAACAGAATTGTAAAAAATTAAATAACTCTGAAGGGAGGTAATCTTAGGTAATACAATTAATTAATACAAAAAATGAAATAAAGAATTAAATAGATATTAATTTCCTAATACAATTGATGTCACACACAAGTATACAATTGAGAAATCTGGAACAACTATGGTGGTGTTTACTCACCTTTGCCCATATTTGACAACTTTTTTCTTAGCTCTACATCTTCATTGGCATGATGTGGTACAGTTGGCGTAAAAGGTAATTCCAAGGCATCACTACGATCATCTCCATAGCCCTCTAGAAAAAGTATACTAGGTTAGTAAGCTGTATGTAATAAATGTACAATAGGTCTATTTGATGAAAGTGAATTTACGAATTCAATTGACTGTATTAGGTGACAACGAATCTTTAAGAACTTGCCTATAAAATCTCTGTTATCTAAATCAGGTGGTGTTAAAGGATCTGCTGGTACTTCTGGCTTAGTCTTTTCACTTTCTGTCATTCTTTGGTCTGAAAGGGATAAGCGTTATACTTTTAAGTATTTTTCAAATAACTAAGTGTACATTTTAGAGAATTATTAAAAATATGTTAATATGACTTCTTCTTCGTTCTTAATTTTATGTTGGAAGGGATCCCCTCCAACACAATTAAGTAGTGTCAATTGGTTATGCACCATTGAGGCCATTGACTCTGATTTCAGTGTGCTTTTCTTTTTTGATTTGCTTCAATAGCCTTTGTCCAACCAAGAACAAACTACAAGGCAGCAGTTGTTTGATTTGGAGTTGTCTCTCCTAGAAGAGTGGCTGTCCCCAGCTGAGCCTCATCTGCCCGAGGGTTCGAACTCGAGACTTTTCGGTTTAGCAACGATGTACTTTACCGAATCAACCACACTGACCCCTATATGACTTCTGTAAAGCTAAATTTTAAATAAATGATTGTAATGATAGTTACCTTTTTCCAGAGTCATCATAAACATTCTATCTCCTCGTAATTCTTGTAAAAATTCACTATTCTGTAGCATAATAGCTAGTCTCTCATCTTCTAAATACTGGGTCAAATCAGGATCAACATCAATTGAAGTCAGCTTTCGTCTGCGTTCATTTTCTTTCATTCTTTCATGTAAAATGTCTGAACTAAATTCATGTTGAGCCAACCCCTGTAATAGGACAAAATAGTTGATAAGCACAAAAAACAATGACCTACAAACTTTATTTACTCTTTAGATTTTCAACTATAGAAAACTGTCTAGCTAAAATTTAAATGTCAATTTTGTTAACCAAGGTTTAGTAAAGGTTCTTCCAAAATAAAAATAAAACTTACAGAAGAGTGTATATTTTGGGGCCTCTTGTTCTGATTTGTGTGACCAGCAAAAGATAAAGAGCGGTGTGGTTTCTGAGAAGGTCGCTGTTTCATATGACTAGTACTGTGGCGGGCATTTGAGTCTGTTGATAATATAGTTGGAGAGGTGGGGTAGAAGCGTGGCCTCTCTGGTCCAACAGCTGACGCTGCTCTGTAAACAAACAATAGAAATAAATTACTCATAAAATACAAGAGCATATTATTTAAATGTTAAATATCTAATGCTTAGTAAGTTGGATTAATAACTACTTGATAAAAACTTATTCAGTATAGTTTCTTCCACCTAATTTTCTGTTTTTAACTAAACTTACCTATGCAGCTGAACTCCTGATTTAACTGGTCTTTGTGGTATAGCTGGTGGGTGGTTTATCCTAAGAAAGTCATCAGGCAAAGTTCCCAACAGAGGAGGGTTCCAATTTCTATAGACTGGTCTTTTGACACTGGTAGACTGCAACAGTTATAAACAAAGCAAATGTACAGCTTAAAGCAATGCTAATTAGTATTCCCTCACGAAAGGCAGTTTATTATATCATTAATTAAATTTAGTAACAATATGCACAATTATGAGGATTATTCAACCAAACAAAATTACCTTACCTCTTTATGGGAAGACCTCCACCGATGGGGACTTTTTTCCCTTCCAAAACCTGGTGGAGTATCTGATGAAAAGTCACTACTGTCCAGAGATCCTTTTCTTTGGGGACGAAAGCATGAATCATCATTGACTAGATCTTGATTTGGGCTGTAACTTCCCATGGGTGCAAGAAGGTTCCTTCCTGGGCGAGGCTTGTGGGGCGAACCATCAAGGGTCTCACCTCGTCGACGATGGTGGTTGGAAGATCTTGGGGCGTGGTGATAGCCATGATGATGAGCAGAATGATGATGGCCGTGCGTTTTGGGTGTGGAGCTTGTTGTTCCAGGTACACCGGCTGGTGCTGTGTCTGGTCCCAAATCCAGTAAATGTTGCATGGTGCCTAGTGAATGGCGAAGATGATGGCCCCCTCCATTATTTACTGCCAAAGTGGGAGAATTGCGATGCCTACTGCGACCATTGTTGCTACGGTGATGATGAGTGGTAAGATGAGATTGCACAGCTTCTGTATAGGATGGCGGACAATCTTCTCCATCTTTGGAACTTTTTTCCAATGATTCTGATATAGGAGGCTTCTAAACCAGAAAAACAAAACAATAAGTAAAAATGTTTTAAAATACTAAGACTAAACTAAATGTGACTAAGCTTATTATAAAAAAAATAGTAATAACTTGAAACAGCTTAAACTTTAAAATTCTTTTATATATATCATAAAAGACTAAATAAATATTAAAATAAATGAAATTAAAAAATAAACAACCTTGGTTGATTTCGACTCTCTACCAGATCTCCTGGAACCAGAAAGTGAAAATTGGGATTGCTGTTGTTGAACATCTCGCTCTACTGACATTAAAATATGATCAGATAAATCATCATCATCGCCAGCTACATCAGAATCGATGTTCATAGTCAGTAATTGGTCTATAGTGGCATCTACCATTCCATTGTTGGCCCTCAAGACAGCTTCAATTACCTCTTCATCCGTTTCAGGAAACATATGTCGAAAGTCAGACATAGCCTAAATTATATAAAAAAAAATTGAAATTAAAAATGTCAAGACTGCAGAACATTTTTATGCATGAATACTGAACATAAAAACAAAGTGTTTTCTACATTTTGAAATAAAAAAAGTTGATAAAAGGGTCAGCATGGTCTGGTAGGAAAAGTAAAAGATTATGGCTGCTAAACCTATAAGTCCCAAGTTTTAACCCCTTGACCAGCTCTATAGCAGGGAACAGAAGCCCATTAGGAGAGATTACTGCAAAATCAATTGCTGCCTTGTAGTTTGTTCTTGGATGGACAAAGGCTATGGGTGCAAATCCAAAAAAAGAAAAGCAGGCTGAAATAAGAGTTAACGGCCAATATGCCATCCAACATTACAGTTAAGAACAAATAAGAAGAAGATGATCATAAATTTAATCTTATTTCTGTTGAATATTATATTTTAAATATTTAAATTAAATGTGCTGATAGGTACTAAGTGTTTGACGACTAAAACTGTTTCAAAACAGTTATTTTAACATACTGCATTTGAACAAAACAAATTACATATAAATAATTGTTTTTTTGGGACAGCATGGGACTGCTTAATCAGAACGCTAGTTAGGAATCTGGACTAGAGTCTGTAGGATGCCCCTGCATCTATCCAGTTCTGATAGGTACCTGATTGAAGCTGGGGAAAATATAGGCAGCTGGGCATACTCTAATTTATTATGCATAGGTTACAGAAACTGATGAACTACATCAGGTTGGTGTCAACAAATTAAAACATTCTGTTTGAACAATTTATGCTTTACAAATACTATCTATTTTATTGACAGCCTGGTTTTAGATGAAAACTTTTTAGGAGCAGCAATTTCTAAAAGTAACTAATTGCCTATTTAAATTGAAATAATATAAAGTTTTATTCAACCTACTTGATTAAACTCCAACTGGCGCATTGGGCGCCCAGGGGGTCTGCCAGGAGATCCATCACCCTGGCCAACACCCCTTATTCTACTAAGATTATCCGTCTCTGTCGACATGGCTCATAATCATTTTTAGAAATTAGTCATATGAAAGAACTGCAAAAGAAGTTAACACAAAATATGTAGTGCAGGCATTGTTTCTAGAATAATTATAGCTTATGAGTTATTAACGTACACAAAGTAATCTAGTGGAAAATTATATAACAGTCAAAGAAATCACTCTGTTATATTTGGGTCTTACTTCACTGGTAAGACCACTTGCTTGAATAGCCAAGCCTTTGACTAAATGTATTGTCTATAAAAAATATAATTAAACTGCTGTGCTATAAAAGAAATTGATCAAACTGACTTTTTTAAAAATATTAGCTTATGACAGAATACTAGGTCTATGGAATTTTTAGTCAATAAAATGAAAAATACCATCAAATGACTATTTTTCAATTTAAAAAAAAAATTGCAAACAAAGCATTGGCACCAATCAAATCTAATGTTTGAGTATCAGTATACTCAACTAGTTAATAGATATATCTTAACTCAGATACTGACTTCTACTATACGTATGGGTTGTACACGAGTAGGATATTTTAAAATTTAAAGCTTCCTCTATCTATTGAAGTCCAATTAGTCTATTCCTCTCACTCATTCCACCTTAGTAAAAAGTCATAAATCTAGAGTACTTTAGAGATTAGATCTGGAAGTGGCATGGCCAATTGGTAGAGCTCTAGACTGCTAATCTTAACGTCGAGTTCGAAACCGGGTTCAAGTCAGTAGAACGTCCCTGAGCCTACCTTGCTCTGATGGGTACCTAACTCATGTTAGGGAAAGTAAGGGGGCTGGTCATTGTGCTAACCACACTGTCTATATGCTGAGATCACAGAAACATGTGAACTCTACTTCACTGGATGATTGAAGATACTGATATCTGATAATACTCATCCAAAAATAGGTATGTTAGGCTGTTAGCAGTATTTTAATCTCCAATAGTCCAATAGTTTTATGGTTAGAAATCAGGGTTAGGCATATGGTAGGACTAGGGTTTTGGTTAGGGATAACATTGACATTTCAAACAATGTCTGTATTATAGTTAAATACAGTAACCTAGCACCCCTTTCTAAGAATATTCTATTATCTTACACTGGTATAAAAAATCCCCCCCCCCCCCCCCTTAGTACTTTAATTTTAGATTCTAGATCTAAACCTAGATTAAAGTAGCCTAAATCTAGAAGTAGAAATGAGTTGCAGCGTTGCTATATCTAGGACAATCGAAGATCTAGATCAGAGATCTAAATCTGATATAACCTTTTTCCAAAATAAAAACTTACTACTTTGGCCTAAACACTACAGTCTACCTACACTCTAACTCTACAGTAGTACTGCAAAGTACAGTCAGTAGTAGATCTAGTAGTAGTAACACTAAACTACAGTTTACAGATTTAGGACTAATTTCCAAAATAAAATTTGCTTTATAAATTATAATGCAATTGTTAACTGTTTATTTTGTTTAGAACTGGATCTAGAATCTAGCTAGATTAATCAGTTATTATCAATTATAAGAGTGAAGACATGAGTAAACAAAACCATGGTAAAGTAATTTTTAGACTGACAGAACAAGTGCGAGATGACACTCACCAAATGACAAGTCAAAGTGTATGAAGAAATGTTTTTCCCACTCATTTCCTCTGTTCATACAATGAAAGTGTATCATATTTCATTTTTTAATTTATTAAATCTAAGTAATTTTTAAAAAATTACCAAATCAATCGCGTGATATGTTTCAAGAAAGAAGAGAAAAATAATTTTCCGAAAATTTAAGTAGACAACTACCCTATCAGTGAAAATTGTTAGGAGCTATAATTCCGGTGTCAACAAAATGTAATATACTTGTTATTTCCTCCCATGCAGTTCAAATAAATAAGACAATTTTTTTACAACAAATAAGCCTAGTCAGTAGTAATAGCACTAATACATCTTATTGTTTTTAAGCAGACTATAGTCAATGTGAAGTATAATATAAATCGGATGTACAAATTATGTAAATTTTACATCTAGATCTAGGTCAAAATTAAATTTGCGTGATAAAAGGTGTGGTTCGTCTTTAAAATAAGAACCACACTTTCGTGCCCAAGACACATGGAGCAAATATTTCAGTAACCTCAGCATACAAGAGGATAATGTTGTCAACACTATGCCTGGTCGCCTTTGCGACCCAAACGTGAGTCGGTAACCCATCAGAGTTTGGTGGATCTGGGATGTCCTACGGGCTACGAACAGAGATCCGAAGCCAAGACTTTCGGATCAGCATTCCGACCACATTCCGGCCACACTAGATATTTTTTAATAATATTAAAAGAAAACGTATTTTTAAATATAAAATAAAATGAGATAGTTGATTTTTAAAACGTGTTATATTAGATATTTGTAAATAATGTACTTTTTCGAGTGAAGGTTTTTTTTCAACTCTGTGATGTTATTTTAGCATAAAACTAAATTATTCTGAGTGTATATTGAGTTAAACTTCAATAGCAAGCGCATTATTTAAAATGAAATGTAGGGTAAGCCTTGATCGGTTTGTAGGATAAAAGTTAGGTAGATATATTGCATGCTAACACCGAAGATGATTAATTCCCACTGAACTTGCCATTTTGTACGTTTAATTTTTGTCAACAAAGTATTTTAGAATTGCTAAGTAAAGACCGCATGAAATAAGAGTGCAAATAAAAAAAAAATATGTATATATTTGTAACCATGCAATAAGGGCGATGTTTATTATCTGAACCTCATAAATGACGATAATGTTTAGTTAATTTTTTAGCCAACAATCTAACCAGTTAAAAAAGGTATCTGGCTTTAGATCCGCTAAAGGTACAATAATTATTACATGACCATAAAATAAATAAATAAGTTCTGAAACAATAATAGGTTTGTAAATTATCATATAAGCTAGATTTCAATATAAGTTATCATTGTTGATTTTATATAAGTAACCGTTAAAGTAAAGCATACTGTTATTTTCTGTAGAAAAATTGTTAAAGCATAACTAATCTAGATCTAGATTAGATCTATTCTACATAATTTATTTAACTAAACAATTTGCCGCTTCCGGTACCGATCGATTTTCCTGGTCGTCACGTCAATGATAACTCTGAACTAAAACTGGTAATATCGAGTTTCTACTAAGTTAACCAAATTAACTCGGCTAAAATCAGCCTAAAGAAATATACGTTAACTTTCTGTTAACTGAGTATATGATAAATATTATAAAGAAAAACACAATTTAAAATATTAAAAATGTCACGGGAGAAAAGGGGCGTGTCTTGGACGCCTTGGTCACTTTGTGTGTCGTCAGTATTTATTTAAAGTATTTAGGGCCTATTATTATCTATTATCAACATACTATCAAATATTATCGGCGGTATCAAAATCAAATCATTGATTTTTCTCCTACCAAGGAAATAATAAAGTAGTATAGTAGTAAACAATACATATTTGGATAATCATTTAAACCCAATGGGGGGGGGGGGGGGGGGGGGGCACAGATGAACTATACTATAATTAACTATAAATAAGACTAAGATAAAGTTTTAGACACAAGGTTCATTACTTACTTTACTAGCAGTTTGAGTGTAACTATTGCAATAGTTCAAACAGTGTTATGCTCTTTAATTTTCAGTTGTTACTGTTGACATAAAGCTTCACCATGACGGATTCTAAATATTTCACCACCACCAAAAAAGGTTTGTTCACTGAATTTTCTAAGAACATTTTAAGCAATTCTTGTACGTATGTTGAATTTTTGTATATTATATTAGTACCAAAGTATTATCACGAGAACTAATATGTGAAAATAAACCAAAACTAATGTGCTTAATCCAATATGAATGTAAAAGTACTTATTTCCACCTATTAATATCTTAAACACTATTCATCTTTAGACCTCTGTAAATGGATGTATTTTTCTCTCACTGAATTAGTGAATTTTAGTGGGCTTGAATACCAAAGTTTAACTAGGGATTATTTGCAAGTATTAAATCTTTTTGCTTGCAGGTGAAATATTTGAACTTAAAGCTGAACTTAACAGTGACAAGAAGGAGAAAAAGAAGGAAGCTGTTAAGAAGGTGATCGCTAGCATGACTGTTGGTAAAGATGTCAGGTAAAAGCTCTGTCAAGTTTTCCTTTTTATGTGCTTTCATTATTATTTTTGTTCCTGCTTATTTCATATATATTTCATACATATTTGCAATTTTAAGTAATGCTGCTTTCCATTTATTTTAGTGCATTGTTTGCTGATGTAGTCAACTGTATGCAGACAGATAATCTTGAGCTCAAGAAGTTGGTTTACCTGTACTTGATGAATTATGCTAAAACTCAGCCAGATGTTGCAATTATATCTGTTAACACTTTTGTCAGAGTAAGTCTTTAAAAATTGTATTGTTTCAGCTATTATAGTTGTTTCTTAGAAATTCTTATAACATCTAAAAAGATTGTCAGTTTAAAAAAAATATGTACTGCCTTTTCCTTTAAATGTGATTACTAAATTTTAGGACTGTGAAGACCCTAATCCACTTATTAGAGCACTAGCTGTTCGCACCATGGGCTGTATTAGAGTTGACAAAATCACAGAGTATTTGTGTGAACCACTGCGTAAATGCTTGAAAGATGAAGATCCTTATGTCAGGAAAACGGCTGCAGTTTGTGTAGCCAAGCTGCATGATATTAATGCCCAACTTGTAGAAGATCAAGGTTTCTTAGATGCTTTGAAGGACCTGCTCTCAGACTCAAACCCTATGGTATTTTAATTTATTAGTGTTATATATTATTTGCTAGAGAAATATTGTATGTAATTTAATATTTTTATATTAAGCATTAATAATTTTAATGTGAGAATTTGTAGACATTTAAATACTATTCATATAATAGCAAGCATAAGACTATAAATAAAATTTAAAACCTTTATTTCACGAAAATTACCATGATCACATTTATTTATTTTTATAACATTTTTGACTTTTAAAAAATATAAAGGTTGTAGCTAATGCAGTTGCTGCAATATCTGAGATACTGGAAACTTCATCTAATGCACAGCCAAGCTTAGAGATGAATTCTGGTACTATCAACAAATTATTGACTGCTCTTAATGAGTGTACAGAGTGAGTAAATTATGTCTTGTATTAAATAAATTGTGTAAGATATACTTTTTTTATTTTCAATAATGTTAAATTTTCATTCTTTTTTTTTTTTTGCAGATGGGGTCAAGTCTTCATTTTGGATTCTATTTCTAACTACGCACCCAAAGATGAAAAAGAAGCTCAAAGGTATTTTTAAAAAAATTTCTTTCAGTTTGTTCATGTTGTTAAAAAAATTAAAAGTGAAAGACAATGTAAAATCTTTCAACCTGCTATTATAAACTTGCATTCACTTTTGTGACTTTTATTCCCCCAGTATCTGTGAAAGAGTAACTCCAAGGCTGGCCCATGCTAATGCTGCTGTTGTACTGTCAGCTGTAAAAGTAAGTGACAAGGCTAAAGTCATCAGCGGAGATGTAGTATGGTGCTTAAAATTTTAAAACAACTTGAAACTATATCACGTTATGTTGATCTAAATATTATTATCATGATCATACATTTTTTCTAATGAAAATCAGATGGATAATGTACATAAAGCTACAACAATTTACTTTGTTCTCATTAGGTGATAATGAAATACATGGAAATCCTGGACATACACAGTGATTATGTAACCATGCTTGTCAAGAAATTGTCCCCACCTTTGGTTACCCTTTTGTCAGCTGAACCTGAGATTCAATATGTTGCTCTCAGGAATATTAACCTCATTGTACAAAAAAGGTTTGTTAAAAAAGAAAAACATAATCAGAAATACCTGCAAATTATTTTAAGTTACATTTTTAAAGTAAATATTACTATCTCTAACTATATTCTTTTGAGTGGCATGTATAACTTTTAAAATATTTTAACACCATTTATTTTCTTGCAGGTCTGACATCTTAAAGACAGAAATGAAAGTATTTTTTGTCAAGTACAATGATCCAATTTATGTTAAACTAGAGAAACTGGACATTATGATACGTCTTACAAACCAGGCAAATATTGCTCAAGTTTTGGCTGAACTGAAAGAGTAAGTTTTTTTGTGTGTGATCTTTCTTTGCCAAGAAAGTTGTTAAAATATATATACATAACTGGGTTCTTTATAGACCTAAAAATACGTTGTACTGAAAATTTGGGCTGTGTCTGGTAAAGTGAGTAAAGATAGTATCTTTGTGACAACCTCACTCTCTTTGTTTCATGGTAATTCACAGAATAATTTTTTTTGGCCAGCAAGAAGTGTGTAATGCCATTATCAGACAATCTTAAGACTATTTAAATTTCAAATTAAAATATAAGATAAATGAGAATGATAAATCTGATTTTAGATATGCAACCGAAGTTGATGTGGACTTTGTTCGTAAGTCTGTGCGTGCCATTGGAAGATGTGCCATCAAAGTTGAACAAGCAGCTGAAAGATGTGTCAGCACTCTTCTTGACTTGATTCAGACTAAAGTCAACTATGTGGTGCAAGAGGCTATTGTTGTTATTAAGGTATACAATTTTTGTGGTTACTTTTTTAAAATTATTTTTCTTAAAATGTTTAAGTATATTTATTAACTCATTCCCTCCTAAGCCCCCACTTCCAGTTTACAAACCCTTTCCTGACCAAAGGGAAGCAACTTCGTTTTTTATAACATGTATTTTTAAATAAAAATTTTTTACTTTCTAATCATTAATCAATTCAATATTATAAAGACGATTGCACTCAGAAATGGACAAACTTTTAGATAAACATAACAATACTGGCATTACAACATAAAACAACAGCATAAAAAACAAAGAAACTCAACAAAAATTGTACATGTAACATTTATTCAACCCAAAAATCACAGTGTGAACCACGTTTTGAAAGTGAACCAAACAAGATAAAAACTTCCGGTTTTTTAAATTGAAATCTCGTGGATTCTCGCTACTACGTGGTTACCTGTTCTAATCTCGGGCATGCGCGATTTCATTATCTAGTTGAAAAGAAAAGTAGGGGGGTGTGGCCAGACGCATTTAGACGCATCAGGCTGAACCCCGGGAGGACGCATTTAGTCGCATCCGGCGGGAATGAGTTAAAATAGTTTCAAAGTAAAGTTGTAATATATTTCATGGAATTTTATCTATTCTGCATTGTATTTCTTTATCAGGATATCTTCAGGAAATACCCTAATAAATATGAGAGCATTATTGCTACATTGTGTGAAAACCTGGATACACTTGATGAACCTGAAGCCAGGTTAATAGTTTTTCTGAATAAATCTTTAACACATTTTTGCTGTTTACTAAATTCAACTATTGTTTATTGCACAAAAATGTTTCTTTTTACCTGTCATCATTAAAAGTTTCAAAAATAGAGTATGTGGTGTATTTGCATTGTCGCCAATTAAAACAGATTAGGTTTATTGCAATTACCTGCAAAATAGCACAATAGTTTGCTGTTTCTGTGATCACTGGTTATAAGAATATATTGATATATGAAATCAAGTCAAAACTTGAACTTAACTTTGTCCTTTAGAAGTTTCATTATTAAATATTTGTTAATAGACCATATGTTTATTTATTATTTTAACTCATAATTACTATAGTAGAGAGCTTATGGAAGTAATTGTATTCTGACAGGGCATCAATGATATGGATCATTGGCGAGTATGCTGAGAGGATAGATAATGCTGATGAATTGTTGGAAAGTTTCTTAGAGGGATTTCAAGATGAGAATACCCAAGTATGAGAAACTCCTTTTCAGCTTCTTGAAAGCTTATTAGCTTTTAATTATAATTAACTGATATATTTTTGTGTGGTTAGGTTCAACTGCAACTTTTAACAGCAATTGTAAAGCTGTTCTTAAAGAGACCAACAGATACCCAGGAGTTAGTTCAGCAAGTTTTGTCACTGGCCACTCAGGTAAGTTATTTTATGAACAACAAAAAAAGAGAGTTTTGTCCCTTTATTTACTGCAAATTTATTTTGCTTTCATTTGTAAACAACTCAAATATACTTGCTCTATTTTTTGTTGACAGGATAGTGATAATCCAGATCTTCGAGATCGTGGCTATATCTACTGGCGCCTTTTGTCCACTGATCCAGCTGCAGCTAAAGAAGTTGTGCTTGCAGAGAAACCTCTTATCTCGGAGGAGACTGATTTGATTGAACCAACTCTTCTGGATGAATTAATTTGTCACATTGCCAGTTTGGCTTCTGTTTATCACAAGCCACCCAATGCTTTTGTTGAGGGTCGTGGAGTGGCTAGACGCTCTCTTCCAAGAAATCAGTCGTAAGTTCATTTTTTTATTCAGTATATTCTGTAAAAACTTCATTTTATCATATGATTTACCCTTGGCATTTTAAAGCTTTTAAATGTTTATTTTAGGAACTGCGTTACTTAAAGTTCCCTTTCCAAACCTTACGGTTTATAGGGCAAGTGAAGTCGAGTTCACTTGTTTCTGTGACCTCTGCATATAAAGAGATAGTGTGGTAAGCATTATGCCCAGCCGCCCTTATTTTCCCTAACGTGAGTTAGGTGCCCATCAGAGTTGGGTGGACTCAGGGACGATCTACTGATTTGAACTCGAGACTAAGAGGTTAGCAGTCCAGCTCTCTACCGCTAGACAACTCCGTCCCGCGTTACTTATGCCCTATTGTATTTTTCTTCATGATTCTAACACTATTTTATTTTTAGTGGTGATGCAACTGTCGGCGAGTCCTCCAGTGACACCCAATCTCCTCCAGTTCAGCAGCCCACAGTCATCCCTGGTGTAGATTCCCTGATTGGAGACCTACTTGATATGGACCTCGGTGGTCCCACACCGTATCAACAACAGCAAATGATGAGTCAGATACCACCAACAGCTGCAACTCCTGCTGGAGCTGTTGACTTACTAGGGGAGGGCTTAGATAATCTGGTAACTTCATCTTTTCTTTGATATTTTTAATTATTTAAACTAGAAATTTTAGACATAATGGCAAAATCCATTTAATGCTATTATAGTATTTCAATCTAAACTATCTTTTATTTTAACAGCTGGGCGGAGGAGGTGGAGGAATGGATGCATTGGGTGGTTTAAATGATATATTTGGAATATCAATACAATCTTCTTTCTACATTCCACCCCAGGAAGTAAGTGTTGTGTTAATCAGTTAAAATATCTCTTAATAGACAAGCTTTTATATGTAACTATTCAATACTGTTTATTTTTAAATTGAAATTTTATATATATCATTTAAATATGTATACATGTAAACCTGTCACATATATTTTCATTAATTATTGAAATATTTCTGTGTTTAATAATTACTAAATATGTGTGAACACAGTCTATTGATTACATTGTTATACATGTTAATATGTTTGGGTTGGTCATCATGAATAGGTCTGGTTAACAGCAGCCAAAGGTAAAGGTATGGAGATAACAGGCACTTTTGCTAGAAGGAACAAACAGATTTACATGGAGCTTACATTTACTAACAAAGCCATGCAGCCCATGTTAGGCTTTGCAATTCAGTTCAACAAAAATAGGTTAGTGGTTAAAATGACAAATGTTTCCATTTTTTAAAATTGCCAATATTTTCACAAATTGGCTATTAGTTTCTATTGAGAAGTCAACTATTATTAACTAAAATTATAAGGATTGATATTCTGATATGGTTAGCTTAACATGTTTGTTGACAGTATTGTTTTTGTTTAGTTTTGGCCTTCAGCCTGCTAGTCCACTCCAGCTGCAGTCCCCACTCCCTCCAAACCAAAGTGCTAGCACATCTTTACCTTTGAATACCCAAGGCCAAGTACAAAAAATGGAGCCACTGACAAATCTTCAGGTATAAATTAAAATAAAATTTTATTTATGTTTTTTCCCACTTATGATATCCATGTATTTAAAATTTCATTACTAGAGCAAATTAAAAATCTGATTTATCATGGTGCCACAATTTTACTATCAACATCTTTGATGTAAAGCCTATTTGTGTATTGTTTTATCATATTTGGATGTTAGAATCTTCAAGTTATAATTTCTAAATGAAGATTTTTATTTATGTAAATATTAACAGTTTTATACTTTTAAAATGTGTACATTTTAATACTAATTATTACATTCATTGAGGCCTAGTGACACTTTAAAAGAGTTAATTTGAAAGATATACATAGTTAATTGTCCCTTTGGCTGTATAATACTTGAGGGACTTATACTGTTTATACTTAACCAGTTTAAAAAATTGTTAATGTTGGACATTTTTTTCCCTGCAGGTGGCTATTAAGAACAATATTAGTGTTTTCTACTTTAGTTGTCAAATTCCAATGCATGTGCTATTCACTGAAGAGGGTGAGATGGATAAAAAAGATTTCTTGTCATCATGGAAGGAGATCCCTTCACAGAATGAAGTGCAGTCTACCATTATGAATGTTCAACATAATGCAGGTATAAATGCAATGCTTGCACGTAGCTGAGCACTATAATTTGTTTAACAAATACATGTACAGCTGCTGTGTATATTTGTGTTTTTGTTTTACCACTACCATCTTTTGTTGTCATTAGATACGGTATCTCAGAAGCTTGGCAACAACAACATCTTTACAATCGCCAAACGTAATGTAGAAGGCCAGGACATGCTGTATCAGTCTCTTTCACTGACTAATGGCATCAGAGTGCTAGCAGAACTGAAGATTCAACCAGGAATGTCAAACTTTACTGTAAGTAGAAAGATTCTTTGGTAGATTGATATTTAATTTTTTTTATACTTGATCTGGTTGTTTTAACTGGACGGACAACACTAATAATGTTGCATAGTTCTTGTCATCAACATTTGGATGTTGGGGCACAATGCATGTGTTACAAACATTTTTTTCATTCCAGCTGTCATTGAAGTCTCGTGTTGAGGACATCTGTCCATTCATTCAACAATCTTTTGACACCATTCTGCACAACTAAACTGGAATGACTGGGCATTGATTCATACTGAAAAAGGTCCTTAGCTAAAAAATGTCTAGAGGGAAACTGTTTTTTCCTCACTTAATGTTATAGGCTGTAGATACAATTGAATTGTACAAGCCTTTTATTTGTAGTTGAAGTGTTTAATTTTTTCAAAATTAGTTCCAGTCTCCTAAGGACCCTTTTCATAAACCCCTAACTGTTAAAACTGCATGCAGTCATAATAATAACAATATACCAAGTAGATTGCATGTTTGTAATTTTGTTTTTATTTAACAATTCATTTTATTTGAGGTAAAATTGTTTTGCTTAATTTAAATACTTTTCAGTACTTATTCCATGCTGTGCATTTCAGGCTGGTTATTAAAATACTGTTTTCAATCTCTTTCAGTTGTCACTGAAGTCAAGAGTGATGGATATCTACCCATTTATTCAACAAGCTTTTGATACCATCCTTCACAATTAGATGACTTTTTATTAATTCAGTAAATTATTTAAACTAGTGTTTAATGGTCATTCCATTAAAATGATTTAATCAACAATCTGTACTTCATATATATAGCCAGAATGTGTTTATGTAATACATGGATACCTTTACAAAATCCATAATTACAGAAGGCAAGTCCCTCAGTTTGCATGCATTATTTTAAACTAAGTTTTATTTTAGGTAATTGTAAGAAAATAAATCTGTACATTTATTGAAAATATGTTCGAAAAAAGTCAATAAGTTTGAAAAATATTTATGTTAAAGTAGCACCATCCCTTTATTTTTGTGTATTGCACACTTAAATTTTTGTGTATACAAGCTCATTAGAATCATGTATAAGTGTTGTAGAGATAGACTCAAGCAACATACCTGTTTGATGGAAATAATAAACATATTACTTCCTGTACTTTAGTTTTTATAATTTTTGAAGTTTGGTGCTGTCACCAAATTTTACCCCATAATAAAAATAAGCAAAACTTAAAAGCAAACAACACAGTTGTCTGACAATAAAATATACTATTTTTTTGGTCACAATTTGTAAATATTTAAAAAAAAAAAGATTATCAAAGCATTAACTTTAATTTTACAGCAAACTAAAGTATAGTTATGTTTACATATCACAAAAAATGTATTACTTTTGTATCTCTCTGTTATTAAAGTAGCGTTCGGCATAATGAATACATTCGAATACAACCTGCAAAAAATAAAGTTCAGGTTTACAAGAGAAATATATTCAGATAAATATTAATCTCATTGTACATACAATAACAAACATCAAGGAGTTTATAATAAAAGTATTGTCACAAAATTCAACTTACCTCTACCATAATGAGAACAATAATCATAACTTCCAGCCTTGTATGATGTCTGTCATTTAACTGGGAGTTAACCAACTCAGTAAGCTCACTACAGTGGTTCATTTTTTCATTTATCACCTAAAATAATAGTTGAAGTTGAAACTTCACATTTTGAAATAAATTCATTCTAAAATAATTCAATTGATTATATAGTAACAAGTAAAACATACCCTGATCCTCCTTGCAATGTTCAGGTAATGATATAAAGATAAGTACAATGGTTCAAGAGCTTCCCTGTCCCAGTAAAAATCTGGTGTATCCAGCAGTTCAGAACTTAAATTTATTAAATGTCTGGCGAAAAAATAATTCAACAATTACTTAAGTGCAATGCTTATGTTTTTATACATTCTTTGAATTTAAAAAAAATGAATATAATATTTTAGTTACCTCAATGAAAACAATTCACCGATCTTCATTTGGATTTGTTTGCGAGACATAGATATTTTTTTACCGTGTCTTAATTCCTGTAGAATGTAATATTGAAAGCAAAGCATTAAGATAACATAGATCCCTTTATGAAAGACAACTTGATTAAGCTTAATTTATAGGATACAACATCATTATGAGATTAAACAGATTATAATTTTATTTTTTTTTAACAAAGAAAATATATTTAAATAAATATAAATTAAATGGAGTAGCTGGTATTTTTATTTGTAATTTATTATAACTGAAGCAATGTATATCTATGGTTTATAGAAGGGGTTTAATAGAATATAGCCATATTAGTTGGGTTTAGGGGTAATTAATAGTGACTAAAGATTGTACTACCCAGTAATTCATAACCGCAAATCAACACAGTATTTTTCGAGAAATTTTTTAGTGTAAAATATGAAATAAAAATGTTCATACCTCAGTAACGGTCTCAATAGATGTAACAAATTTATTGAGAGAACCCTCCCATATCGAAAGCTTAACAGACTGGGCCAATGCGTTGGAAAATGAATAGAGTTCAAGCAATCTCTCAGGACTTCCTGGATCGTTGTCTTTTAATTGTATAATGTCATTTGTAAGACATGTTTTCCCGCTGAAAGAGAGATCATCCTATTACTTATAAGTAAGGATTAATTATCAACCATACCAGGGTGACTTCTTTATGGGCTAAGCAGTCAATTCCATTGCTAATATTACTGTATATTGGGATAGTATTGTACCTGACATAAGTAAAATCCATTTCTTCTCTTTCAAACAAAACCAAGGAAGATATGTAAGGTCCATCAGAGTACTTAGCCAAAATATTTAAAAATGCTCCCCGCTGAAAAATAAATGTATTGACAATATATGATACTGTCAAATATAATTTCAATAAAAATTAACAAACAGAAAAGGAAAATACTAACTTCAACTTCAGGGACACACCAGAATACAATAGTACCATCCCTGTAAATCACAATTTAAAAGTTAAAACAGCTGTGCTATTCAAGAAAACGTAAAATACAAAACAAACAATACAAAACTATATGGCTAAGTATGGCAAAAATATTACAAAAGTAAAAATAAGAAGAAATCCTACTCAAAAACAAAAATTTCCTTTGGTTTGTGATCCACATTGTATTTTCCTCTCACATGAAGTGCATGAGTAACATCTAAAAAGAAAGAAAACTGAAATCTCATAGTCTTCATGGAATATGTAAATATAAAACTTAACTTTGAGAAGCAGAATTTAAAAAAAATTGATCTGTTAAAATTGTTAAAATAAACTTAGAAACAGGTGAGACAGTAGAGAAAAAGCTTTTAACAATGAATAGTGTTAGATTAACACCTAAGAATAGTGTTAGTTTAACATCTAAGAATAAGAATAGTGTTAGAGTAACACCTAAGAATAAAAATAATTTTTTGGAGACGAAGAGATGAGCAGAAGAATGTTATTCTTAATGAGTACCTGCAGGAAGTTTCCCTAGAGTGTAAAGACCTTGCTTGATGAGGTAACTCTGTAACTGTGGGAGCCTAATCTCTTCTGCTACTGCATATGCTACAACATTGTCAATTTGTACAGTCTGAAATAAAGTCAAATTTAGACAGTGTAGCCAGAAATATAATTAAATAAATAAAATATAGATCTTCATTATGAAATAATCAATTTTAATTTGGTATATGTTGAAATTCAAAATGTGAATAGAGTGTGAAATGTCTTATGTTCCTATATATATATAAAGGAACATAAGACATAACATATATATATATATATATAGGCCTATATATATATATATATATATATATATATATATATATATATATATATATATATAATCTAACAGGGTCAACAATCTGAACATTTTACTTAATGTGTTTAGAAAGTTGCCTATTTATACAAAATTACCAATTTTAAAATGCAGATGAAGTGTGAATAACATAAAGTAATTGTTTGATTCTGCTGCTTCAAAAAAAAAAAAAGCCTTGGTAAAAGATTTAAAAAAAACCCAAGGTTTAAACCAAAATTAAACTCAAATTACCTTTGCTTCTTCTGGCAAGGTAGGGACTTTTTTCCTAGCAGGTCTCTTAACCTGGAGAGCAGATTTATCCATCAAAATAGCTGAATTAACTGCTGTACTGCTGGAATAGCAGCATGATGGCTGGTTAAAAATACACCAGGCTGATGACACTGGTTTATACAGAGAAACTGCCTGTCTTAGGAAATGCTGATGCCTATTAGTCTGTTGTAACTGATATGTTGGCACTTTTGAAGATGTGCTAACTTTACTGGCAACAGAACAAAATCTTGCGTTCAGTTTTTTGTATGAGGCAATTTGCTTACATGAAGACACACTGGAGAAATATTTTAAACAAAACTTTGTGCTCCTTAGGGCTGTATGGTATAACTGTGATGTTTCCATTTTCTGCAAATTAAAAAAATGCAAGAAGATTTTAGACATAATGTAACATCTTTAATATAGCCCTAAACATAAACATTTAAAAGTGCACTGGAGTCATAGTTTAGTAAATCTATGTCTTAACTATAACTAACCTAACTTGGGAGGGGGGGGGGGGTTGTCAATGAGTGTGAGTTGAATTATTGTTAGTCCAGTTTTAGCCAAATTAAAAAATAAATTTAGCCTACACTGACTACATAAGTTACTAATCTAGTTAGATCTAGAATCTAGTAATTTTTTTATATGATCTTATCAAGTATATCAAGTTAAGTCAAATAAATAAGTCAGTTAATTAATTATTAATCAAGTTAAGTAAAGTAATTAATGGACGCCAGCGAGAAAAGTCTCAAAGGTATTTGAGAGGTCCATAAATTAATTTAAAAATCATGCACAGTGTAGTTACAATTAATATGGTTATAAAATCCTGTCTGTCTGGTTTTTTTCAGACTTTACTAAAGATTGGATGTATTTGATGTTTTTAATATTTTCGGTAACTCAATAAATAATAAAAAAATAATAATAAAAATTAAAAAAAAAAGCAAAAACAATTTGGTTTTCACGTGTTATGGCGACATAAACAATAAATTTTATTGCACACTTTGTAAGCTAAAAATAGAAAAGCTAGGTCATGGGGTTTAAATTTGCATTGTTATTTAAAAATTTGATCTGCAAAGTTTTGTAAACAAATAGTTATCGATCACTAAGTTACTGTACAGTACAACCAATCAATATGATGAAAATAAATAGAACTGTATGTAGCCTTAAACTCAACAAATTATTAACAAGTTCTCTGGATTTGCAACTTTTATAGCATTTATTCTAAAATTTCTAAATTAATTTTAGGCTTAAATAAATTAAGTTTTTATTTTTTTTTACGGTCTAAATCTAAAAAGCACGTTTTTATTCCATGTCAACAACATTATGGAAGGAATCTCGTCAACTCGCTGGTGTCCATTAAAGTAAGAACTTCATACTTCATAGGCCTACTTAATTTTATGATGTATCTAGATCTAGATTAGATCTAAATCTAGACCTCGCTTACTTGATGTTGGCTTGATTTTTTTTTACTGTCAGCATGCATAAAGTTTCCTAGACTCTAGAATCTAGATCTAGATCTAGATCTAGATTCAGACTTTGAGTCTGTCTCTTTTTTTTTTTTGTCAATGTGGTTGTTAGGCTATAATAAAAATATTAGGCCTATAATAATAAGCCTAATTTAATTATAGGTTAGCATTTATTTCTAAAAAAATGTGGGTTATAGTTATAGAGTCTAGATCTAGGTGTAGATTTCTAGAACTTATGTAGAATCTAGTACACTTACAAAAGAATGTATTCAACATGAGGGTACGAAGGTGATGAAACTCATTTGACTCTAGCCCTAGCGGTATAAAATTTTGTTACATACAAAATGTATACTTTACTTTATACAAAGTTTGCACAGTAGGTTCTCTAGATCAGATATCTACCACTAGATCTAGAGAGTCTAGATCTAGATCTAGATTCTAACTGTCTACGAAAATCTACAAACTAAAATTTAAAAAAAAAATTATATTTTTCAAATAAATAATCTAATAGTAAGCTTTTAAATTAACAGCTGAACCCATGTCACTTTTAGAACTAGGTTAGCCTATGTCCGTGTTTTCTTTCCATTGGACTTAAAAAAATAAAAACATTTCTTCTGAAATCAAGCATACTAGGGCATGCAATCAGCAAATACCTGTTTCAAATTGTCAACAAACCAACTGAGAAAATGTGTTGCGGTGTCGGAGTTTATTGCTGCTGTTGGCTTATAATCGAGATTTTACCATACTTATGCCTTGTAATTTTACCACTTATAGGCTCTTTTTATGGTTCCGATTCAATATATCGCACATCAATTTTATTAATAGGCCACAGTGTGATTATTGAATACATTCCAGAACAAATGGTGAGTGCTGAGTACTCCATAACTCCAGTCAAGTCAGTTCAGTGATGTACAATACTAATACTGGGGTGAATACTCAATACTTCAATACTTACTAGAATCTACTACTACTATACTACTAGTAGGGATTTAGGTAAAAAAACACTAATCATCATATAAAAATAAAAATTACATATTCTTGTAGAGCTCAACAATATGAAAACAAAACAAAAAAGATTTTCTGTCTAGCTCAAATAGTTTTTTTTTGGCGAATTTTTTTGTGAGGGGTGGAATCCCCTTGCTTTTGCATTGGCCAATTGTGACAAGTCATGGTATACCTGAATAAATTGAGCATAGTTATTTTACTTGCAGTTGTATTTTGTTCATATTTGCAGAGTTTAACTAGAATGATATATAGAACTTGTAAATGCTGTTGAAATTAATAAAAATAATACAGAACTTATATTTTTGTGTTGGCTTCCTCCCATAACCCCAAAAAACTGTGTGCTGCGCAAATATGAAAATGTTTCTAAAGCCATATTTTATATAAATACAGCAAATGAAAGAACTACAAAGTTAGAAATCTAAAGTAAATGACTTGAACACTGTTATGTGCATATAATTGCCTCATTATTTTGGGCAGGTGAAGTAGAGTCCATCTTTAAGCCATTTTGTTATAAAACTGCTGCGCAAATATGAAAATGTTTCTAAAGCAATATTTTATATAAATACAGTGAATGAAAGAACTCCATAGTCAGAAATCTAAAGTAAATGACATGAACACTGTAATGTGTCTATAACTGCCTTGTTATTTTGGGCAGGTGAAGTAGAGTCCATATAAAAGCCATTTTGTAATAAGTGAAATGAAGTTATCAGATCAATGTTTTTATGTGTGAATTGTGTATGGATTCTGATTTTCAGCATATAACTATATCTAAGGGTAAGTAGAACTTGAATACTTAAAATTACAGTTAGCACAATGTTAGTGTATAGCAACAGACAGGTAACCTAGATCTAGGTCTGACTCTTGTCAGTCTAGAGTAGAGTCTAGTCTGACAAAATTGGATTTTTAGGAAAAACATATTCTAGAAAACTAGAACTAGAGCTGAAAAAATTAAAGATGGGTATGTAAATATATTTTGAAATAAAAAATTAGATTTGTTTGCACATGCCATAAGATTGCTGTTATTAGTTGATCAAACTTAAAGGCAGGAAGATCGGGATGAAAAAATATAACAATGGTGGCATCGTGACCTACATACAGTGACTACGTTCGGAGGGGTATAACTAATGTCGGAGTCAAAATATCCAAAAACAAATTTCATTTCCAATTACTTAAGATATGTCTGATCAGTAATCTACTCTCATCTAGAGGAATCTTTTAAAAAATCGAGATTCCAACGTATTTGAAACTAACCTTGATACAGGGGGAAGACCAAAGCAGAGACAGCATGCAATCAGGTCGCAAAGCCATTAAAACTAAGGGACAACCACTCTACTTTTTAATTAACCTTAGGAAATGACCTTTTAAACTTAATTAATTACCATAAATTAAAAACTTATTAGTATGCAAAACCAAATCTCGTGGGTCCGGTATCAGAAAGTAATGGGCGATTTCGGGTCATGTTTTTACCGCGAACTCGGCGGATGCCGACAACCCTAGTATTACTACTAGTGTATACTACTTACTTACTACTTATTACTTAACACAGTAACAGTTAGTTGTTTGTTAGTACTACTAGACTAGTTAGTAGTTGTAAGTTGTTAGCAATCAATTCAAGTTCATTATTCAATCACTTGCTTGTAAGTTGTTTGACCTTATATAATATATAAATAATTAAATATTATTAATTATTAATAATCTATATAATAATATAATACTATATATATATATTATTTAATAAATAATAATAATAATAATTAATAAGTTGAAATCCTGTGAGTAGCTCCCAAGAATGTCCAGAGACCTGTGTGGGTGTGGAGTGTAAACTGTAATGGTGGTGATCAATGATGTTGTATACAATGTTTTTAATTAGAGAGCCACCCTAGGAAGTCTAGGCGGTAGTGTTCACAAACACACACATCCCAATATTAATAATTATTTAAGATCCAAGAAATATAGTGCCAACATTTTAACATTTAATTCAAGTGCTAATCCACTGAAAATAAAAAATTTGGTATCTCTAGGATTCTAGGAATATCTGAAAGTGCAAATTGATACCCATAGTGATAATTTAATTTTAATGACACCTGACACAGAAGTGGGGGTTCAACACCAGTCTCAGTAAATTACTTCACAGTGCTCATATTTTCCAGGACCCTCAAGTTGCTGATACTATTTTTTTCCATTTATCATGTGCTAATATTACTTATGTAATATGCATCAGTTACTACATAATCCAACCATAAAATAGATAAGCAGAAAGTATTGTATGGCTAGAACATGAGGTAATCATTAAATTTTCCTTTAATTTCTTTTCTGTTGAGAAAGCTACTTTACTTGACAGTCTGCTAGTACTTAAACTTTTTGATTGGTAAATTTTAAGTACAAAATATTGTGACATTTTTCCCGTGATTTTTTTTCCTGGCTTGGCAAAGTTACTTCTGCTGGTACTTAGATAAGATATTCAGTATTTTGTATTGTCTTGCCTGGCAGATACATTTATTCATACATGTGTAATGATACTAATATAATTTATTGTATTTTTTACAGCTCCGTTATATACCCTGTTTAAATATAATGCTGTTTGGAATTTTGATGGTTATACCTCTGTCCCTGATGCCTTGGCCAGTGGTTTGGTTGTACAGTATGGCAATATGGATAACAGAGCCAATTTTTATGATTGCTGAGGTAAAATAAAACTATCTTGTTACTTGATTCAGTTTGTATTTCTTATTCTCTTCTCTAACTAAGGTATTGGGTAGAGAATGATGTGCAGATCATGACCATTCAACTTAGTTCAGGTTGGAAATTTGACAAGATTATTTCAATTACTGCCCTTAATTTATGGTAAATATTAGCAAAGTGGGAGCAATCATTTTTCTGGAATAGCATACAAACTCATATCCTACATGGATATGACAAAACTACCGGATTACCCACCAGTGGTAACATAGGGGAACTGTTCAGTGGAACAGTTTGAACAGTTAATTCCGTACTTCCTTCTCTTATGACTAAATTACTAAAGATGCAATCTCCAGTTATATGAGAAAAAAAAAGCAACACTGAGTTGCCCTATGGATGCCCTTGTGAATCAGTATAAGTACATAACTGGAAGAAGAGCTTCATGCTGAAACAAAAATAGAATTATTAAAAAAAATAAGGTATTGTAAATAAAAAAGTTTAATTTGATCCACAGTGCAGTCCCTGTACATATTTTGGTTTTGTGTCATAACAAAAGTACAGAATCTCAGTTGAAACAGTTGAAGTGTTTCTGAAATTACATTAAGCATATTCAGTAGTGTAACTAACAAATGTGGTGACACAAACTTGTTGACTCTCAGTTATTGAATAACTATCTCTTTATTAATGTCCTATTTTAATATAGACCTCTAAATACTCTCATGTTTTTATTAAAAAAAAACAACCAATCTAACTGGAAAGTTTACTTTTTTGACATCATCCAATGATCCATTAATTAATTAGTAAAGCTCTCTTCTTTTTAACCTGACTGTCCATGGGGCAAGTGTTCACCTGTTTCTGTGACCTCAGCATATGAAGGGATAAAGTGGTCAGCATTATGGCCAGCTGCCTTGACTTTTCCTAATGTAACTTAAGCACATATCAGAGCTGGCTGGACTCATGGACTTCAACCCGGATTCGAACTCGAGACTTTCGGGTTAGCAGTCTAGTGTTCTACCATTACGCCAAACAGTCCCATTTTTAATGAATACAGAGATAATTTAGCCTATTTGCTAACACCTGAATGTTGATTTATTATCCTGTTTCAGGTTTTCTTAATTCTAAATTTTGTAATGCGCATTAGTCAGACGGCTGCTGATAAAATTGAAGAGGATGAAGAATCTGCTCATTTATACAAGGTAAATCATTGTGATTTTATTTATTTTTAATTTCTAGTATTCTGAAATACAATTCTTTTGTAAAAAATGTAATTTCTCATTTATTTTTACAATAGCACTTTTAAAGTTGGATAAATTTGTTTCCGTATTAGTTTAAATCTTCATGCTTTAAATTTTTGTCTTTATATAATTATTAAATCAGTGTTTCCTTAATCTTGAACAGGGTGCAATTCTAATGTTTTCATCACTCAGTTATGCTTTTACAGCATCAGTGGCTTACAGTAGTGTTTATAGCAACGCAACAACATTCCAAATAGTGTAAGCACTGTAATTTACTTAATCAAATTGTAAAGGGTAGGGGCAACTACTCCATGATCTTTTGTTAATTAAAACTAATTTTTCTTTCATTTGCAGAATACTTGTGGTGATTTTATGCATTTGTGTTGCCAATCATAACATGATGCTGATGGCTCATGAGGGTAATGAACTAAAAACTTATTTTCTAAAGCCTATGTTTTTAGTTGAAAATAGTATATGTTATTGGTACATTTCCAGAATGAAACTTACATGTGACCTTTCTTTTTTAAATATCATAGGTATCATAAGTGATTGTGCCTTCACTTGTTTAATAAATGTACTGATCCTGTATACAATGATTACTGAAACCCAGTTTATAAATTCACCTTTACCAGAACCGTTGCTATGGAAACGGTATGTATAAAAGTGAACTACTGCTCTAAAACACCCATACTTGATTTTCCTCATTTGTATGAAAAATAATTTGTACTTTGTACTAACATTTTTCTAAAACAAAAAAAAAAGCAAAAGCTAACTTACAGTAAGGTCATTGGACCTACTTTATTTGATACAATTATCCTGATAAATATGTCCAGCAAAAGATTTATTTACAAAGTTTAGTTTTCATTTCAATAATCTGTCATTTTATTTGGTTAATTTCTAATTAAGATAGCTAAAGTTTGTTGGACATTTGCCATGTAGTTGTAGTTTTTTTGTCAGATTAAAAAATAAAACTAGTTGACGTCATTTTGAGGGGGGGTCTGGCTTTTTGTGATGACGTGTGAAGGAGGGGGGTAGGTAAGTCGTCAAAAAAAGCAACATCATTTATGGATGACCCCTAAACCATGAACACCCTAACTTACACGGATGAATTTTAAGATTATATATTTCTATCTATGGGATGGAGTGGCCTAAGCAGTAGAGCGCTAGGCTGCAAACCTGGGTCCAAAGAACGTTTCTAAGTTCACCCAGCTCTGATGGGTACCTAACTCATGTTTGGGAAAGTAAAGGTGGCTCTGCAAAGTAATGACTACCCCTCCCTTCATATATACTGAGGTCTGGAAACAAATGAACTCTTCTTTATTTACTAAATGGATCGCTAGGTCTAATGAGGATTCTTTTCTTACATTTATATTTCTATATAATTTTTTTACTTTCAATATCACAGCTCAGGTGGAACCAGTTCTTCAGGTTTTGTTCAAATAGTGGCCTCTATTTTACAGATTAACATAGGTAAGTTATAATTGCCCAAATTATGGTAAATGCTTATCTAAAATTGCTGACTGTGGATACTAAAACTATTTGATTCAGCAAAAATTTTACATGTCAACAGATTATTTATTGCTGCTATTTTAAATAAAGAGTCATGTACTGTGTCTACAGTAATAAACAATGAACCTCCTTTTTAATTTTTTTTCTTTTGAATTTGTTTTTAATTTTAACAAACATGTGAACTGTGAACAGTTTTTAATTATTGACAGTTTTCCTTTATTTTTATACATGGGAAGTAACTCATCAATTGTAAAAGTTATTTTTCAGTATTATCTAAACTATAGGAATATTAAAAAAATATTTGTCTTTTTATTGAAAAAGGAAACCGCTGTAACAAAAACAAACAGTTATTAATCTCTAAGTCTGCCGCTCTGAACCTAAAAAGGAAATAGTGAGAGAGAGACAATGATAATTGTTTTGTCCACATGAGTTTCTTTCAGCAGCGGAACTGCTGTACATCATTGACGAATTTTTAGTGTGGCAGGCAGGCCTAATAAAAAAATATACACCCCCCCCCCCCCATTTGTGTAAAGAGATTTCATACAAACAATACAGTAATTATAATGATCGAATTCACCACCACTCTTGTCAAGCTACAGCTTTTGTAAACAAAGACAAGCCTGATGGAGAATTTATGTGACTTTCATGACTAATGTCAGGTAGATTTAATTTTCCAAGCAGTTAAAGCGGGTAGTTGATAGTACTTGTTAAAAACATGAACAGTCATAAAAACTTAAATATATGAAGTCTACTTTAAAAACCTCCCCATCTCTATAAATAAATGGATAATCCCTCTGTTCACTACGGCTAATGTGAGGGGAAGTTTATTAATATCAGTAGAGCATTGTAGATCATGTCAAATGACTAATTAGGCTTTATTTATTGTAGTACTTTTGCTTCTACTTTTAAATCAATATTTTCTTTTCCTCAGATTATGCACAGATACCAATAGATTTCTTGAAGAGGTTTTTCAGCCCTTTGTATATTGTAATGTTAGCCATAAGATTATACAGCATATTGTTCATAGTACAGAAAGTGACCAGGAACTTTTTTCAGAAGGTGAAGATGGTATTGAATTAGATGTTCAACTTTTAACAAATACTCTTTTTCAAAATGTCTTACTACCTATTTACATATTAATGTAGACATTTCTTTGACAGGATGATACGGACAGCTTTGATTGTGAAGAAGAAACACCACCACCTTGTAAATCACCGGTTTTGTTGAAGGTTTCTATTATCTTCATGTTTACTCAGCTGTGTGGAAATTTACTTCAAGAATGGAGTGGAAATCATGCATCTCTGTTTTGGTATTTACCCAAAATGGCGTGGACATCTGAATTTCTCTTCAATCGTCTCATTCAAATAGTAGCAGTAAATGGATTTTATATATGGAGACTGTACAGAGCTGAAGACTGGACATGGAATCCCTGGCTAACACCATAACATTACTCCTTAGTTACTAACAGAAGCACAAACTGTTAGTGTTTCATAATCCTATGCTTATTATTCTGATCTGGGATCATCAGGAATGCCTTAATTTTTGTAAAGCTATATACACTGTGCTTAATTCTGCTTGACTTTTACCATGATCATTATCAACTAAGGTAGAAATATATAAATGCCCTTTCATCTTATCTTACAAGTTTGTCAAAAGCCACTTTTTAATATTTTTATATATTGTATAATTAATATTTTGCAACAATAAACTACTTCATGCAGTTTGGAATCTTGCTAACCCTTTGTTTTTAAACTGCATCACATTATAATTAGTAATAAAACAGATAGTATTAGTTACCTCACAAGTTAAAGACAGTTACAAGTACTATGGACGTCTAGACCCAAGGTCTTCATCAGCACACAACAGTGTGGTTACAGATTAGACAAATAAAGACAAACAGTAACACATTTTTTGACTTAGCTCGCCAGTGAAAACACGTCTTGTCTGCTAGCCACGATATCCAAAAGAAAAGATGTGTGAGAAGGACGCTTGGACACCATATAGGGGTGGGGGCACGGGGGAGTTGGTTAGGTGAAAGACATCTATTCGTTCAAGCCATCGGGTGCCCGTGTACCAAATTTAAGTATTAGTTGCGTTTCAGTGCTAAGGCGATTTTTAAAATTGTGGCAAAACCGAACGGCGGTTACACAAAAGTCCTTTTGTTAAGTCATGCCCACTCTTGTTAAAGTATTTAGCCACAGGAAGACCGTCTTCATTGTTGATTGAACGCAGGTGTTGGCTAACCCTGTCAGACAATCGTTTCCCCAATATAAAAGATGTTGCATCGCTTGCACTGGATGACATAAACTACGTTGCTGTACTCACAGTTGAAGTGATTTTTAACCAACCCCCCCCCCCCCCCCCCCGCGGCTAGCAGACAAGACGTGTTTTCACTAGCAAGCTAAGTCAAAAAATGTGTTGCTGTTTGACTTTATTTGTCTAATCTGTAACCACACTGTTGTGTGCTGACAAAGACCTTGGATTGAAACGTCCATAGTACTTGTAACTGTCTTTAACTTGTGAGGTAACTAATACTATCTGTTTTATTACTAATTGCATTAACCTCACTGCAGCTACCATTTGTTTTTTATCTTTTCACATTATAATTTAGACATAATGGAATGGAAGAACCACACACAATAACCTCAAAAACAGCCAGTGCTCATTTGCTGAAAATAACTAACAGACCAAATACAAATAAGGTTTTGTTCAATCTTTATCCATACATGAGCAAATCAATTTACCATTTACAGAGGATGAACAAAAAAATAACAAAGCCAAGAGTACAGTTAGAACAAATTTTAATGCAGTTATACTCCACTTTAGATGATTCCAATCTGCAGAAGAAAAATGTGTGATTGACATTTACAAATTTATATTTTATAAATACATGCAAGTAATCTTTTAAAAAATTCACATGAGAGAAAAATGCACACTACTAAAACCTAAGCATTACCTTTTATATTTATGCACAACTATAATATTTGAACCACCCACCTTATTGGCAACATCTAAGGCATCATAATCTGGAGCCAAGTGCACATAGGCTTTCTTTTCACAATCAGGCCTGGAATTTAAAGAATAAAGAATTCAAACAACTGGCAAAACACCTAATTAACATTAGTGATACATAAGTTATTGAATTTCACCAGCAACTAAAAACAATGCAATTTAGGTAGTACTAATTTAAGTAGATTAAAACTGATTTGCTCTTTAAAGTTTCCCTTTCAAACCTGCCGGTCTATAGGGCAAGTGAAGTGGAGTTCACTTGTTTCTGTGACCTCGGCATATGAAGAGATAGTGTGGCCAGCACTATGCTCAACCGCCTTTACTTTTCCCTAACGTGAGTTAGGTACCCATCAGGGTTGGGTGGACTCAGGGACGGTCTACTGACTTGAACCCAGATTCGAACTTGAGACTTACAGGTTAGCAGTCCAGCTCTCTACCGCTAGACCACTCTTTACTTATTTAAAATTACCGCAACGAAGTAATTAAGCATCCAAATATATGGTATCAATAAAAAAATTTTGGATTTTTTAAGAACAAATGATAAGCAGTAGAAAATTTAAAAACAGGAATTGAATAGGATGGAGAAAAAAATAGCACAAGACCACAAAAAGAACTGTAGCTGTTTAATTGATTTAAAAATACAATATCTTGACCTAATAAGGTACTGTCAGATTTCTGATGTATAATACATTAATATCCACAAAGGAATGAAAGCTTTGCAGGAAACGGAAGCCAGAAAAAATTTATGTTAGGTTTTCAATCAATGTTTTAAAGTTATCAACTTCTAAAAATTTAACAGCACAATAGGCAGTATAGTTGGTGAAATTAAAATGCCCATGCTGATAAAAATGGTTTTTATTAAACCATATTATATTAATACAAAAGTAGTTTAAGCTAAATATAATCTTTAAATACATTAATTTAGGTGTATTGTTATGTAACATTTTCTAGGTTTGAGCCACTAAGACAATCTTCCTGAGAACTAACAACCCTTGGATTAATTCATGTGGATATTTTAAAATAATTGTTTTAAGCAAACACATAGCAATTTTGGGTTGTTTGTGGAGTAAAAATATTGTCGATATCCAGCAAGTATTCATCAGGCGTGTCAACCCTAATAAAAAAGCATTGTATTAAATTCCTACTAAAAACTGAGTGCCCAAGTTATGGATCAGCCTGCATTGTAAAATTTATGTGGAACTGAGTCAACACCAACTATTTGAAATTAAGATACAATCTTAAAAGCTTAACCTAGTTTGAATATTCATGGCTCAATGTGCCCATTATAATAGGTAAAATTAGTTATTAAAGTTACTACCAGCTTGATGGAGATTTAAATAGCGAAGCATGAGGGAAACGTAATATGACTGCCCAATTACAAAAGTAAAAAGTGTAAAAAGTAAGCAATGTTACATCAAAATGGAATAAACCTAAATTACTTACCTAATTAATGTATTAACCTTTGATACTTCAATATCGTACAGTTTCTTGACAGCCATCTTTATCATGGGCTTGTTAGCACGCTTGTCGACAATAAATACAAGAGTATTGTTGTCTTCAATTTTTTTCATGGCAGACTCAGTGGTCAGGGGGTACTTAATCAATGCATACTGATCAAGTCTGTGAAAATTAGAGTTAAAGATTTAGATCTACTAACTGAAAGTAAGAGCAACCAGAAAAAAAAGGACTTAAATAAAAGAGTACTCACTTGTTACTCTTGTTCACACTCTTGCGTGGATATTTGGGAGCCCTGGGCAGCTTAAGGGTTTTTGGACGACGGAAATGTACAGATGTCCTTATTTTGCGGTTTCTTTTGTCATGTTTACCGCGAACAACTGTCTTCTTTGCTTTAAGTGCTTTTTCTTTAGCTTTCACTACTCCTGCATCAACTTTGGGAGGTGGTGCAGTCTTTTTCTCCTCTTTTTTAACTTCCTTAGCCTTAGGTGCTGGAGCTGAGGCTGGTTCTGTTAAAAATATATACAAATCTTAGGACAATTTCTAAAGGAACCTGAATTAAATTCAGGGAAAGTCTTAGTTATTAAAACATGCATAGAGAGAATGTGCAGCATGATAGTGAGGACACATAAGCTGGGGACAGCAACACATGTATGAAATACAAAGTTAAAATCAAATAATTGTTTTGCAGATTGTTCTTGAATGGACAAATGCTGACAATTGATACAGATGTCTGATAATAAACTATTCCAAAATAAGTGCGTAAGGCAGTGAGTAGTTTTGTATTCTACTTTTATGGTTAGAAATTAGGGTAGGACTAGAGTTGGGATTAGCATTAGCAAACCATGTGAGTATTTTAGTTAATTACCAATAACTGAACACCCCCTTTTATAAAGATTCTATTATCAGACACTGGTATAAAAATATATAAAAATCCCAGCAAATTCAACAAGAAAAGCAGGCTGAAGTCAAGAGGGGAAGGGGGACGGGTTGCTGAAGTGATGCCTGAAAGAAACTCAGGACACGGTTGAGATTTCATTTCACTTTTTGCTTAGTAGACACGTTTGATGATCTAAAATAGTTTTAAAACCTAAAAGCATTATTTATTCCTCTAATCTGGGGCCTAGTGCTCCTCATCCGGTTGAGGTTACCTACATACTCTAGAGTAAAATTCCAATTAATCTTCCTATAGAGTGAAATAGAAGAAGTTGAGCCAGATGTGTTTAAAAATGGACATGCGTAGTGTTGTATAAAACATACATACAATTATTATTTAAGCGAAAAACAGCAAGGTGTCCACATGGGGAAACTGTCCGCATACGGCACTTTACTCTAGATCTAGGCCTATAATTTTTTATATAATAATCCGGATGTTGCCAAATGCAGCCATTACTGCCTGATGTCCAGCTCAGCTTTTGTATTGTGTTGTTGTGTTACTATATGATATACATTCAAACACAGGAAACCACAAGCATCAGTACTCCACACAGTGATTGTGACAGTCAAAACCTAATGCCTAATGAGGATCCAGCACCCAAATATCTGCATTCATTTTTTCAACATAATCTAACTGCTAACTAAAAGAATGGCATTCTAAGTGGCAGTACTATGTTCATTAAAATAAGGTTTTTTAAAATTCACACTTTTTAAAATCATAGTCTGTTTTGGTGTACATTAATACTGATAAGCTAATAAAGTAATAGATTTCTCTATCTAGATTCTATAGCCAAGACAGCAATTTGGCCTATCAACAGCTCTCAACTTGTTATCGAAAATACGTCATTCCGTATTTTTCCAATAACATCGATACTAAAGTACGAGAAAGTCGATTGAATTTAATTCGTAATAAATTAAGGTTTAATAAGGATATAATAGTATTGTCATTCTAGACCAAAATTTAATATTTCATGAGATATTTACTAGATAAAAAATATAATACGCACTGGTTGCTGGTTTTTTCGTCTTGGGTGCCATGTTGAAATTTAGTAAAAGGCTTGATCTTGTATTGCAAATAGGAAGACCACGGGGTTCACATGGACATTGAGCACGGGGGCCCAGCTGAAAAAGTTTCCTTTTAGATTAAAGAGCGTGTCACCTATTTATAACCTTTAGAAGTCTATAAATAGATTTTTTGGGAAAAACATTTGGACTGTTCTAAAATCGTTTGATTAGGGCTGTTATTAGATCTCTGATGATCTAGAATTCTATATTAACACAAGATCCTATAGTTTTCTGATCTTAGTGAGTGGTTAATAGTAATATCTAGACTAGATTTAAGTAGGGCGTATAATTAATAATTATAAATCGAAGGGTCTACTCCCAGTCGACTGGGAAAAGCAGTATTAAAAAAAAAAAAAATTAAGAGTAGGCCTATTACTATAACTATTACTACTATTAGTATTAATAATAACGAGCCGACACGCTGCGTATCATACGCCGCTATTTAGTTGTTTTTTTTCTACTTTTCAGTAATGTATAATTTGTGAATTCGATAGTACCAATGATGCCATTGAAAATATTTGCTTAAAAACACTACCCCCCCCCCCCACGTGAAAGCAGCCTCCTCTTAGTTACCTCCTCTAAGTTTGAAATCGTTTCAAACTAAATTATCTGCCCCTAATAGCCGTCACCAAACCCGTCTCTGTGATTGTAAAATGTAAGCAGAGTGAACACCGCTCACCAGATCATGTGGGGGTGGTAGTGATAGTGATAGAGAATAGAGAGGAAGAGAGGGGACTGCAAAGGCGCGCTTGCAGCTTGTTTTCTAACTGATCCCAGAAGAGAATTATATATATAGATTATGACTATTATAATATTATTACTATTTAACTAGTATTTAACTATTAGTATATTAAGTAATAAAGTATATTAGTTTATTAGTATGGTATAAGTAATAAGTATAGAGTACTATTTTAGACGAGAGGGGCCTATACCATAGGCCTATAAATTATATATAATAAATAATTAAATATACTTAATATTAAATATAGATCTTGAGTTATATATACATATGAATATATATATATATATATATATATATATATATATATATATATATATATATACATACATACATATATATGTATAGGCTATATATATATATATATATATATATATATATATATACATACTAGCTGCATACCCATGCTCTGCCACGGTGAATCTTTTTTAAATGTACCAGCTTGGGAACAGAACAAAACTAAACACAAATGCTTATACCCGACCCGTTCTACGGTGCTGATGTGGATATTACCTCAGAGTTTACAGCGCTGCGCGTGGGTCCCTGCATTAGGCCGAATATTCCTTCAGCTTATACCCGTGCTTCGCCACAGTGTGGATATGAATATTACCTCAGAGTTTACTGCGCTGTACGCGGATTGGGGTCCCCGCTTTGGGGCGGATATTTTTTAGCTCACGGGTGTTGGTATCCTCAGAGTTTACTGTGCTGTGCACAGATTGGGGTCCCCGCATTGGGGCGGATATTCCTTCAGCGCACCGTGCTGGCGCGGGTGCCGGTAGCACTTTGGTGCAAATATGGATATTCACAAAATTAAATTACGGGAAATAAAAAATTGAGAGCCGACGCTCTCATGAACGTCCGCCCAGAAATCTCTCCTCCCCAAACCCAAGGCGTCATTTAAAACGCCGCCAAACAACACGTTTACCCAGGCGTCCGCACCCAGGGAGAAACTTCCAAAGTCTATAGCGATGACGGAATGACTGACTGACACACTACCAGCAGCGTTATATTATATATATATATATATATATATATATATATATATATACATGTATATATAAATATATATGTATATACACGTGTATATATATATATATATATATATATATATATATATATATATATATATATATATATATATATATAGGCCTACTGAGACCTAAGATACATAAGTATATGTATATATATTATTATATATGCATATAATGAATGCAGTGACTGATAATTTTATTGCTAACAGCAACCAAAATAATCTTAATTGATCATCAGTCATCATTTTCATTATTAGACTCTTACCTCCTTTTTTATAAGATAAAACATTATTTATGGCTGCAAATAATTCTAGAGTTACTGACTTGTATAAGCTAAAAAAAAGAACACATGGATTTAAAAAGGGTAAGTATTTTTCATTGCAATAGTGAACAGAATTTATATCTTATGTTTAATTTATATAATATATTTTTTCCAACAAAATAAAAAAATATTGGCTTATATAATGTCTCATAAAAATTTGCCTATTTTACTTATTTTAAAAAATATTTATCTGATAGCTTGATGTATCTGAGGCTATATTTATTTTAGTCTCTGGTACCTAGTCAAAACGACCTGACTTGTTAAAAAATATCCTAATAAAAGGGCAACAATCAAAAGAAACCATGACAATAACACCCCAAATCATGGATCCTTTCAACTAGCCCAAGACAAAATTATCTCATTATAAATTGAACCATGACAATGTAGGCTGCAGACCCAATAAGCACCTGGCCAAAGATAACTTATTAAGAAGAAAAAGCATGTGTCTCTGGTGCACGCTTTCTGGCTGGAGCTTAAGGGGTCATCCATAAATGATGCTTTTTTTTTGGATGATTTTTTTATCTCCCCTCCATCACACATTGCCGCAATGCTTTTTTTATAATGCAAAAGTGTGACGTCACACCATCTGAACACCCCCTGCCCCTCATCTCACACCGTCACAAAATTAAGGATCCCCTCTCCCCTACGAGTGTGATGTTATTTAAGGATGACCCCTAATGTAAAACTAGTGCTTAACATAGCCATGAGTTTCATCTGCTTTATGAATGACAGCAGCTTAAACTTCATAAACAATGAGGGCTTTATGTGTGATGGGAGATTAATGTATAAAGATAGGTTAGTGCTCTTGTTATAGTCATTCTGTATAAAGCTTTTTTCTGGGGGTCTTTTTCATGGGTACTTTTGTGAAATGCCTAATGAAAAAGGTGGTTTACTAAGCTAATGTATTGAATTCTGAAGGGGGCCTTTTGTGTGTAAAACATATATCCCTGGACATTATGACACGAGACAATTTGGGCAACTTGAAAAGTTTTAGCTAGCCTTTTTTTCTAATGATATTTAAACAGAAAAATAAAGTATAGACAGTTTTAACACATTAAATTAAATATATCCTAATCTATTGTTTCAGAACTTGGAGAAAAACCAAGCACCAGTAAAAGTCTTAAAAACAAACCTGCTTTAAAAAATGTTGAAGTTCTTAAAAAGTTTGATATGACTTGGGAATATGGTCCTTGCATTGGTAATTCTAATTTGTCTGTCAAAATAAGATGAAATATTTAAAAATTATAACAATGAGATGTTATCCTCGAGTGAGAGAACACAACTACTACAGCGGCAAACAATCCCTTCTGGAGAAGTCAAAGCACCAGATAATCCTATTTAATCTATCAGTATCATAGTTCATACATGGGACCAAGTGGTTTAGCAGTAGGGCACTAGACTGTTAACACAAAAGTCTCAAGTTCAAATCTGAGTTCAAGTCAGTGGAAAGGCCTTGAGTCCACCAAGCTCTGATTGATACCTAACTCATGTTAGGGAAAGTAAACGTGACTGGGCTTAGTGTTGACCACATTATCCCTTCATAAGAAACATATGAACTCTATCTACCCAATGGATGGCTGATACTTTTTTCCCCACAAGCAGGAGTAAAGCAACATTTTGTTTCCTTTTGATTCTAAAACACTGGATGTATGCAAACTTTTAGCTGCTTTAAGGCAATTCATTATGTTAACAATACTTTTGAAATTTAAATATTCATTTTAGAAGGTTATTCAGCTTTTTAATACGTCCTGTTGAATGTTTTTCATTAAGGTATAAGTCGAATGGAAAGATGGAAAAGAGCTGAAAGACATGGCCTGAACCCTCCCACTGAAGTTAAAGATATTATCAGTAAACATGAAAATGATAAAGAATATACAGAATGGTAACTTTTTCTAGTCAATTTTCTTCTATATTAGCACATTCTGTTGTCACAATGTTAGGTTTTACACTTGAGTCTTGCAATAATTAAAAACCATATCCATCAAAGCTGGGTTTGTTTATTAGAGTGTTTAAGTTCTTGTAGGTTAATTATAGTCAAGAATAATTATATATATATATATATATATATATATATTTATATGTATGTGTATATTACTGTGAATATTACAAAGTATAAGCACTATTTTTATTTTAATAAGTAATATTTATACTTTATATAGATAGCTGTCTTGCTGTAAATATAACAAGGTGTACTTCTATTAAAAGATTTAGTTATGAGATCATAATACTTGCATTTCAAATTATATTTACAGTGTGTGGAGCTGCTACAGTACTTTGAATTGAAAAGAAGAAGAAAGTTTTTCAGTCTGTTTACAGCAGATTTGGAGGTATTTACTTGTTTTCAATGCAATGCTAAAGAAACTGTGTATGTAATAAAATCTAATATAGTACAAGCTTTATCAAATTAATATAAGAATATAAAGAGACCAAACTACAATTATATATTACCTATGATACAATATTATCAAAAGCTGGTCTGCATAAGATAATGTGAATTGTTGCCATTGGATTTGTAGGTTTGTTGTATCTATGTTTTAACGATAACAATTAAATTATCATAGTGTATTCTGAAATACACATATATGTTCTGTGGTAATGATCAGTAAAAATGATCAGATGCCTAAGTGAAGGCATTCACATTTTTAAAAATGCACCATGTAGTGCTTTTATGAAGTATGAGGCACATCTAAAGGAAGATGTATGATTTTGTTTTAACTTTATATTGGTAACTTTTTTGATTTTATGGTTTAAAGAGTACAGCATAATGATTTCACATTTTCATTTATTTTGAGACCTGCTAAACTAATTTTACAAAATAACTAATTGTATATTAGATTATTAGGTAATACATATACACACTTTTTGTGATTTTTGTGTCTACTATTACTGTACATACAATTTAATGTGATAAGAATTTTAACTTTGTTCATTCCAATTTATGCTTTTCATTTCTACATTAATTAATGAAACTTTATTAATTTGTTTATTTGTATACTCTACACATTTTACATGTGAAAATAAACTATGCATAATAAAATTTCTACACTTTGTGTTCAGTATTTGCTTTACTAAGAGGTTACTGTAAGACAGATTGGTTAAAATAGTCCCACAAATTTTAAGTTCACAAAATTTAAAAGCCTACTTAGCAATGTAATGTATTAAGTCCTTGGTAAATTCAGGGGCACAGTTTTTAGGCTCTAACAATATAATATACATCCCAAACGTTAAATATAGTTTTAAAATTATTAAATAAATTTCCCTTCATCATCATTTACAGAAGTAAAAAAAAATTAAAACACCCAATAAAATCTTTTATATTTTGCCTAATTGGTACTTTGGTTGGTTTTTTAAATTATTTTTTTGAGTAACATAAAAAAAAGTACAATAATAATTAGCAACTATCAAAACACTAGAAATACAAACGACAAAACATCATGATTTATTATTCAGTAATAGGAATATACAATTCTTTTTCTGTATAGTAGTGTGATACAAAATTGAAGATTAAAATGTAAGATCATAAAAACACAAGCAAATCTGAGTAAAATAGTCATTGGCAACACTAACAAACTACAACTTTAAGAACAATGTAAAAACATTTATATAAATTAACATTATAAAATCACAAATCGTAACAACGGAAAAGGTTTTGAACCCTAACCCTCATCAGTGGCTGAATCAGTTCAAGCTAGCAGAGCAAGAAAATGAGATTGATCCAACAAAAAAAATTAATAAATGTTTAAATTTTAAAAAAATAACTAGCACTACTTGAGGTAATTATTCTTAAATAAATATTTTTATAGGAATTTTATAACAAAAATTTAGTATATGTAGTGTAATTACAATGAAAAATAGTTGTGGTGTGAAACAAACATTTTATTCACCAGATCAGTTAATGCAAATGACTAGCATTGATAAAAACTAAACCAATAGAAAATAGAAGTAGTTTATACACCCACTATAATCTCCTCAAATGTAGAACAAACGCCCTGCCTTTATTTGCAAAAAAAATATATTACAAAACTTTCGATAAATTAGAGCTTTGAAGTAACTTGCTTATAAACATCATGAGTCCTATAAACCATTTTATGTGCTTCATCAAAGTATGGATTTGTTTCTTTTTTTACTTTTTCCATCCAAGATTTTACAATTGGGGATTCTTCATACAAATGGTGCTCATGACAGGCATACAATTGCATTAACTCGCAAACACCAAAAAGATCAGCAATAGATAAATCACTTCCACCACCTAAATAAGATTGATTTTTCAAAAAATAAGACTCCAACTGTGAAACCATAACTTTTATTTTATCCCTGTATTTTTCAACTTCCTGCTGATTAATTGGTTTTCCAGTGGCTTTAGGTATAATAAGCTGCGGACATGAAACACAATATTTTTAAAGTAAATATTTGTTTTAAATTAAAAAATAAAATGTATATATATATATATATATATATATATATATATATATATATATATATATATATATATATATATATATATATATATATATATATATATATATATATATATATATATATATATAATTATGTTTATATGTATAGAGATGACTGAATGTCTGTATATAAATATTTCATAATATTTTATACAATATTTCTATTATTATTCAGTCTTTATAAGAAACTTAAACGTTATGAGAACCTGTTTCAAAAACAGTATAGCCTTACAGAATTGTAAAAAAAAAAAAGAATACCAATTGTTGAAAGAGTTGTGCACATAGACCTCTAGTGTTGAAATGCTGCCAGTGAAGGTACTCTTCAACTCTTGCTTGTTTTTTTAAATTATACTGAGGGAACCAATGATCACCAAGATCATATTTGCGAATCACATACTTCAAAATAGCAATACTGAAATGAATTCATCAAAACATATGACCATTGTAGATTCTAGTTTAGAAGCATTTTAAAATTCCAGCTATGACAATCATATTCAGGATTTTAAATATTTACCAGCCTAGTGAATTGTATTTCAAATTACATGAAATAGATTCACTTTGCTCCAGGGATCATGAGGTCCGAATCACTAGTTTATTTTATTTACATCCTAGTACTAATGACTAAGAATATGATAACTCATATTAGCTCAAATTATTTAGAAAAAAAATTCATTAGGCCTATAACATTACTTTATCAATTGATTTAGTGTTTTTACTTTGATTATATAATTACAACCTTTCTGTTAATCGAAATCCATCATCATCAACAGCAGGCACTAAAGAAAATGGGTTCATCTTCTTATATTCATCACTGTAATGTTCACCTGCATAAATTATAATTAGATTGATAATAACAGAATTGTATTTGAATAATAGATCTATAATCTATAGGCTATATAATATATAATAATAAATATGTGTCAACGATTTAAATAAGATTTTTTTATAAAAATAACTGTTATTTTTATTTATTTTTTTGCATTAACCTCATTCTTTTTAATTTACAGTTATTTCATTTTTTTATAGTTTATTTAAATAATATTATAATTAGGCCTAATTAATTAGGCCTAGTGAGGGGGGGCCTATATGTTAATTTAATAATCATTATTAAATTTAAAATTAATCATAGAGTATTATATGAATTGCTTTGATCTAAGAAGAGTGAGTAGGCCTATACTTTATTAAATATTATATAATATATGTATATATAATATATAAATAATAAATAGGGCCTATATAATAAATTACTATATTAATATATATATAATTATAATATTATTATATATTATATAATGCTATATAGTTGTATTATAGTATACGAGCCGACCCGCGGCATATCATACGCCTCTATTTAGTTGTTGTTTTTTCTACTTTTCAGTTATTCATAGTTTGTGAATTCGACACTACCAACGCTGCAACTGAAAATATTTCTTTAAAACACCATAAGTAGCTTGTTAAGGACGATAACCCCCCCTCCTCCCCCCCCCCCCCCCCCGTTTAAGTAAACTCCACTTAGTTACCCCCCCTACACTTAAAATCATTTCAAACTAAATTATCTGCCCCTAATTAGTTGTCACTAAACCCGGATCTGTTTGTAAACATTTAGAGTGAACCACAGCTCACCAGACCATGTAGGGGTGGGGGTGGTAGGGAGCGCGTTTACAGCTTGTTTTCTAGTGTCTCCCAGAAGAGAATTATATATAACGAGCCGACCCGCAGCGTATCATACGCCGCTATTTAGTTGTTTTATTCTCTACTTTTCACTAATTCATAATTTGTGAATTCGACAGTACCAATGCTGCCACTGAAAATATTTGCTTTAAAACACTAACCCCCCCCTTTCCCCTAACCCCGACCCCCCCCCCCCCCCCCCCCGTGAAAGCAGCCTCCTCTTAGTTATTTCTTAGTTACCTCCTGTAAGTTTAAAATCGAACTAAATTATCTGCCCCTAATAGAAACCCGGCTCTACGATTTGTAAACATTTAGCTTTGTAAAGATTTGGTTTGACTACAGCTCACCAGACAATGTGGGGGTGGGGTGGGGGTGATAGTGATAGAGAGAAAGAGAGGGGACTGCAATGAGGCGCTTGTTTTCTAACGGCTCCCAGAAGAGAATTATATATATAGATTTATATATATAGATATTAGATAGTAGTATAAATTGTACTAGTAATAGATCTAGTAAGTTAGTACTTAGTAACGAGTGTGTACTGAGTGCACACAGTACACTCGTAACACTGTTTGACTGTTAGTGTTACTGTTACACTGAGTGTGGGTGTGGTCTACAGACTACAGTGGTGTGTGCACTGTGTACAGTTGAGTGTACTGTGTGTGTAGTGTGTACCTTTTCTGAGCGCAACAGGTTTACTCTCAAATGGGACATTGTTCATACGCAAAAACATATAAACTGCTCTGGACGGCTGCGATAGAAGATCGAAATAGTAGCGAAGTGGCATTTACAATTTTTACAAAGCTAATCCAAAAATATAAAATAACAATTAAAACGTGTGTGTGTAGTGTGTACTGTAGATTCGGGTTGTAATGTGAACACCACAGTACTAGAATCGAGGCGAATAATAATATGTTATGGTTCAAAGGTTACAGATAAGCTTTTTGTTTTCTGAAGTTAGAAAGTTTATTTGCCAGTTAAATGTTGAATTTCTGATTTTAAAACATATTTTTTTTGTCGTTGTTAACATTATCCTAGTAGTTGAATATATTAATCGACTCTTTTCGAAGTAGTCACATCTTATGTCTCTTTTATCAGGATAGATCTTTTACTTTTAAGCTATTTATTAATATTTATTAGGCTATCTATTAACGATTGCATATATATTAGAATATAGTCGAGGTAAGATGAAGAGTTAACACCGTTTTATTATGTATTATTTTATTGTTTAATTAAACCTCGCATAACTTTTAATTAAAAAGAAAACAAGTAGATCTCTACTCTAATATTTTAATATAATGTAAGCAAAATATCAGGCTATTCTGTATTCATACTAATCATACTTAATTATTTAAGCCCTCATCCCCCCACCCTCCCTTCACCCCACTTTCATCGCAATTTTATTTGTTGCTTTTTTATTAGGGCCTAACAATTTTACACGCTTTTGAAATTAGAAACGTGTTTTGAGATATTGCGGTAGCAGTAAAATGCATACATAAAATCGAACATTTATCACCGAAATTTCGTGGAAACCCAAACAGCTACATGCACAAAACGCTCCAAATAATTTATCAGCCTTCTTGTCAATTTTATCTGGCAGCTGTAATCTTTACACATAAACAATGCAAAATGGAGTCATTTATTCGGGTAACCTTGATGTACTACACATTTTAGGTCTATATCTTACTAATCATACTAATCCTATAGTATTTTACTGATTGCATGATCTGTTATAAACTATCTACTTTTTATTCTATGCTCGTATAGATTTAGAATATTCTAGAATTTAGTCCATTTGAACACTCTGAGCCCTGAAGTTCTAAAAAAGTAAAAGATGAAGAAGAGATCTGATTGATTAAAATAGGGATTTAGGTAAAAAAACACTAATCATCATATAAAAATAAAAGTTACATATTCTTGTAGAGCTCAACTATATGAAAACAAAACAAAAAAGATTTTTTGTCTAGCTCAAATAGTTTTTTTTTAGCGAATTTTTTTGTGAGGGGTGGAATCCCCTTGCTTTAGCATTGGCCAATTGTGACAAGTCATAATATTAGCGTGTATTTCGAAAATTGAAAAATTCGTTATTTTCGGGAGGAAAAGATACCGATCGACGCGTAATTTTTTACTGAAACTACTTTTTATACTCTGTGTGTGTCTAGCAAAAGTTTATTTAGCCTATTTCGATTTTAAAATTTTTGTGTTTATAAAAAATTTGGATTAACCTGCCACCATTATTTTTCCTCTTACATTAAAAAAAAAAGTGTATCCGATATTGGTAGTACACAACTTGATGACGTCATACGCGTCAAATTATATTTTCGGACTTTTCGTCATTTTACTATAAATTGTTAATGTAGTATTTTATTATGAGTTAGACATCAAAATTATATTTACTATACACAGCTAGGCCTATTAATATTTGAATAAATTATTAGGCATAGGCCTACTGAAAACTTGAATTACCACCATGTAGTAGTAGCAAAATATTTTTTTTTTATTATTAGATTTTAACATTTGTGTAAGGCCCTACATGACCAACAATTTCATACCAATACCATTGTCTAAAATAGTGAAAATGTTATAATATAGTTTATATAGGCCCTCTACAAAGGTATTCAGCTGCTTCTTATAGTTAGGCCTATAGATTATCAATATTATTAACCTTGCTTGAACACATTATAGTAAGTTATAAAAATTCATCAGTTAAGCTAGTGATACTAATTAATGGAACCATTATCTCTCACTATGATTATTTATCCATTCTAAACATTTAATATGTAATTTGGTGTCTAATAAATATATTTATTTATTGACTGCTTACTTCCAATAACTGTTGTTGCACTGTGAATTGCGCAAGTCTAGAGAAAAAACTTCAGCATAAGCTTATTTTATCAGAACATGTATATGAAGGCTTACTCATTGCAAGTTGTTTTTTTCTAGACATGTATAGTATTCATGTGGTAAGTGCAAACATGGTGTTACTCTGACAGATCCACCAGTATAATTTCTTATACAAGACCTGGTTTCAAATTAAAACAAAAGATAAAAATAAAAAGAACCAAAATGGTTTGCTTTCCAAAAAATATTTATTTATTAGATTTAGATGCAATCATATAAATTTCAATTATCAATGAAAAGAACAAAGTAATAATGGGTTTAAGTTTAAGGTGTGAGTACAACAAAGTGATTTATATAACATGTTTTAGTTGATGCAAATTAAAAAATGATCAGGTTGAATGAAAGTCATCAGTCCAGGAAAGATACAAAAATCTGCAAAGAAAAAAAAAGTTATTTGATTTGTTTACACTATACTGTGTATCAAATTAGAATACCATAAGTAAAATATAAAAAAAAAAAGATTAAAAACATAATACCATGTCATTACATACCAACCTTTATTTTTTAACAAAAAATTTAGTGCACTTTTGAAAAAATAGAAATTATATACATATTGTAAAGACATAAATATTGCAATCATTGCATGTAACTGTAAACATAAAAATATATAACAAAGGAACAAAGCAAATTTAAAATGAAACATTAATTATTTTTTAAAGCTCAAATTTTTAATAATCATGCTGTCCAAGGATTAACAGCAGATTAGGATGTAAAGCAGAGATACTACTAATCTAGTCAGCTATTAGTGATTCAGCAGGTAGGCAAAAGTCCTCAGCTTCATCCTCATCCGGTGCCCAGTAGCATACAGTGTAGACAACAGACTTGTTCTTTTTAGCTAGTACTCTGTTAATAATCCTCACATAATAGCGATGCACTTTCTGATCATCTAGCTCCCACTTGTCAGTCAGCTGGACACCAACCAGGTCTTTACCACCCACTATTCTTGACAAAGAGGGTTTCTGCTTCTGTCAACACCACAAAATAGGGGATGGTTTACTGAGACATTCGATCCAGACAACACATCATAGATGGAATTTTCAGTATCTCTGCGTTCCATAGCTTCCAACTTTTTCTTCATCTGCTTTATTCGAGATTGAATGTCTGTGTCTATTTTGTGCTGTAACTGGTTTGTGTCGATGACCCAGTCAAACTCCTCAATCAGTTTGAGATTCTCTGCATGAACAATGTCATTCTTTACTGAGATCTTGACCCTTTCTCCTCTTAAAGCATCATCTATCTCCTTCAATACTCTGTCATTGTCAGCAAATCCATCTCCCATTTAACACTATCAATCTTGGTTCTCAATTCTCTTGCTGAAGATGTCCAGTTGTTCTTTGAAACCTAACCTGCAATTTAGCATATTTTATGTTTGAAATCATCAATAACTTACCCTTTCATGCTGTTTCTGCACCAGCCAACACCTGCTTTGACATCTGTTTTTTTTTTTTTTCTTTTATATAAAATACTTCCTCTTCCAACACTGGATCTGTGTCTGCTTTCTCTGCAATGATTTAGTATCTTTTCTTAGTTTACTTATTGTAGAAAAATATGAATTATAAAGGAAGTTCTGTGCAACTGTATTTTATAGCTGTAAGTTGATGAATCAAGTCATGACTTAGTATACTAAAATAAACAATTAGTGTTAGAAAAAAGTCTGTTACATTAGTAGTCTATTACAAATTACTTACTTAATCCTCATCACTCCCTGTGGAGTATAGGGCAGCAACAAATCCCTGCCATTCCACTCTGTCCTGGGCGAGCCACTTTAGTTCATGTCAAGTCTTGCCAGCAGCTTGCACTTCTTCTTCCATCTCTCTCCTCCATGTTCCCAGTGGTCTTCCCCTCTTTCATTTTCCAGTGCCATGTTGGGGGAGTCATATTTTGCTCATGCGTAGGACATGGCCCAGCCATCTCCATCTCCTCATTCGAACTTCTGAAAATGCATTTGGAAAATTTAGATATAGATATCTAGGCATAAGGTTTATTTTAAAATAAATAGACTAGGCCTACTAGGTTTATTTCACACACAAAAAAACCATTTGTTTTTAAAATTGTGAGTCTAGTAAAAAGTTACTATTGTTTAGAGTTTAGAGTAGAGGTAAGTTAGAACTAGATCTAGATTTAATTACTTAACACTAAATAGGTAGATCTATAATTAAAAGTAGGGTAATCCCTTAGTTTAGCGTCGGAAATTATCGGGTAATGTTTGTTGAGTCTCGGTAACTAGAGTTACGGTAAACCATGGTTTATTTGACCATTGAAATATAAATAAATTGACTGTCGATTGTAGTAAATTAATGTTTTAATTTTTTAAGTTTAATCGACAAAAGGAAACAAGAATAAATATAGATCTAATAGTAGATTTAAATTAGTAGATCTAAAAAAAAATATATTAATATAAATATAAATAAAAATTTAATGTTTTTGGCTTGCAGCGGATTTGCGACCATTAATTAATTAGATCTAGATCTAGCTAGATATCTAGCTGCTAGGCCAAGTTAAAAAATCTAGATTACGAAAATAGTAAAAATGATTACAAAATGTAAAAATGCTTACAAAAATAAATCTATCCAAATTTTAAATATTCTGTATAAAAATAAAAGATGACGCCAAATAAAGTATGGTTTACAGTACTTCCGGTGAATTCCGGAAGTGTGTGACAGACTTTGACATTGTTTTACTGTTTTTTACTGCTATACGATTCCGGAATAATAACCGACGCTAAACTAAGGGATTACCAAAAGTAGTCTATAATTAATAATTAGGTAAATAATTATGATCACTTAAAGTACTGTCACTTATCAGAAAGATCTAACCGTGATTCCGATGGCTGAATGATTTCTCACTCAGATTTCTATCAAAGAGCTGCAAGACCACAGACTGAAAAAAAAAAGTAGATTAGAGATTCTAGAGTCTATATCTAGAAAATTAGATTAATTTTTTAATAGAGATCTAGATCTAGATCTTCTAAAATAATTTAGATTAGGCTTATAAAATTATACTTAATTGTACTATACTATAGAATATGTATAGAATAAAGAATCTACATCATCTAGATCTATTATTAAATCTAGAGATTCTAGGTTTCATAAATTGATCTAGATCTAGATTCTTGATCTAGTGATAGTGATCTAGCCTCTCCTAGTAATCTAGATCTAGTCTAGAGTCTAGCTTGACGATCATCTGGATCTAATCTGGATCTAAAATTTCTAGAAATTCTAGGTCTAGTCTAGCTAGATCTCTAGATCTAGACTAGATCTAGATTCTAAATCTACCTAATGAGTCCTAATGACACTATTAAACCTTATTACTTTTTTTCGTAAAATAGTTTTTTTTAATAATGCTATTTTTAAAAAACTTATTAAATATACAATATTTTAAAAATCTTTTTAAAATAATGGCGGCTACAAAGCTATCGATTCAGACTTTGCAGGTACATTTAAACGACTTGTTGGTGGGAAATTAGCCGTTTTCAGACTTAATTTAAAGAAAATTTGCAAAACTCTGTCGAACTACCAAAATTTTAAAAAGAACTGGAATCTAATTCAAATAGAAAAAAAGTGATGAAATTACCTCTATTTTTGACAGCAATATTCCGAAGAAAGAAAAACTAAATTAATAAATATCGTCCGCCAAAAAATTTTCCAATATGTCAAGTAAACCCGAAAGGCAGAGAGCGTCAACGAAATGCCGGTTGGAACAAGCCGTTAGTCTATTTTTAGACTCACGCGCGGCGGTGACGGAAG